TCCACAATTAACTTGTAGAATAATAATGGCAGGGCAAGAAATAGACTATATCTTATGGACGGTTCCCACTTAGTAAAAACAGCCAACACCACGAGAAGGTGAGGAACCATTGTTAGCCACTTTTTTTTTTACTTTTCTGAAAAAATTTACTGAAATTTTAGTTGCGTCCCCTATAAGGAAACACGGAGAAAAAAATTTTGTGCATGGAACCCGAAGCTGATTGTGAGATCATATGGATCTCTGAAGTTTTCGGATCACGCATCCGAAAAGTTAAGGTCCATCATCTGCCGAAGTTCGGGTCAGACAACTGAAGTAGTTCGGTATATACCGAAGGTTTCAGGTCACACATCTGAAGTACTCGGTGCATACCGAAGTGTTTCAGATTTCTGACCCGAATTTCGGCAGCTGGACCTCAAGTTTTAAGAGATTCATATGATCTCAACGTCGGGTCCCATGCACGAAGTTTTTTCTCCGTGTGAGTATTAATATAAATTTCAACACAGTCAAACACAGTAGAGAACCAAGGAAATCACAGTAGAACAGAGAAAAAATACCGTCGAATAAATAAAGAAAACTATTATCGAAGAAATTCTAATTATTTGGAAAGTAATTCGCTGGCGTAGGTAATCAATGCGTAGCTGCGTAGGAGCATGAGCGAGATTTATCATCAACTGACCGCTGGCCGGTAGGTACCTGGGTGGGCGAGCGACAATACGTAAGCGGTGGCATATGGTTCGATTGACAGAGGAGTGGGGAACGGTCAGACGTAGGGGAAAGGTTCAGGCTGAACCGTTCAGCACAGCGCAGCGTCAGTCACCGGATGGGGAAGAGAGTCCGGGAGGGGACACTTCCCCTCGAGTGAAATAGAAAAAGGCAGAATCCTTCGAAGTTTATATTAATGATGCAAACATCCATATCTGATGAAATCAGAATTTTTCTCATCCGTTTTTTGGTATTTTACTAACTTCAGGGACTCTTTAGCGTCCAAAGCTTTTTTCTGCTTTCATCCCCAAAGGGAATTTTCAATTATAAACCGCTCGACTTTTTATTTTCAGAACAAGTACGTATCAAGTGCTTGTGGCTTTACTAGTCATGCTTGGCAGGAAAATGCTATATCCCCTTCAAATTTTCTCAGGGACGATGTAAGTATTCTGCTCTTTCATCCTAGAGCGTATTCTCCTTGTAAAATAGATTAAGAGACTACCAACACTTACGTCAGCTTGCAATCAGATGACACCTGAACAGTATTTCTAAGTTTATTCAGTCCATTAAATTGGGGGAAAAGTGCTGTAAGAGCTTTTTCCAGGAAAAAAAATCCGTGCTAAAAACGGTAGAGGATTCTTTTTTCCAAACCTTCATAACTTTATCAATTTTAAAGTGAACCAAATAAACTTAGTACCTATTGATAGAAAATGCAATCAAATACACAATTGAACTTACATTAAATCGTAAAATATGCTCCTTTTAAGCTCCTCTCTGTTAAGTAAGATAATTTGTATGGCCAGAGTGGAACTCTCTCAATTTTGGATTTTGTTACACTCAAGATAAACCTGGTTCCTCCCCCCCCCCCACTTTTTTCCTTCAAAAGAATTGAAGCAGTTTGAAAAAATGCCCAGCACACCTAGTAATTTTATTGATCAAAGAAATTTTACCCATCTCCGACTGATGAGACTGAATTTGAAGAGAGCGTAGTTATGAGTATTTAGGTGCGGTGTCAAGAATTAAGGAGCATTTTGGAAGAAGGGCACATATGCGTACGTGCCTTTTTCTGGAAATGGCAGAAATGGATTCTTCGCATCCTCATGTACCAATGTCCCGAATTTAAGCTTAATTAATCAATTTTTGAAGCTCAGAGACCTAGTTTTGTGAGGCTAAGTCAGGGGTCACAAGCGTATTTCATCTATTTGCCTCTGGATACGGTTGCCGCAACGTTGAGGAGATAGCGCGCAGGCAGGCAGTCAGGCAGGTGATGGGCACTGATGAGAATCCCTCACTACAGATGCATCGCACTGAATCAATGCAATATCATCCGGTTGCAGTGATTGTCAACGCGTTGCACCGGTCGCACATGAATTTTTGCAATTATAAATAATTCAATTTTTAATGGGCTCTTGTGAGTTTGAATTTTTTGAGTTTTTTGCTTGTTTCGTTGTCTTTTTTATTAATATTGATCGAAGATGATCCACTCGCGCTTTGCAATCGAAATTATTATTTATTAATTAATCGGAAGCATTTGTTCTTGTTTAGAAACTAGTTAAAGTCTCGAAAATTCAGCTTTAAAAGCCAAAACCTATAACCACCAGAAAATTTCCAAAAAAAAACCACCATTTCCGGAAAAAGGGCACATAACGGAAAATTTTAAAAAAGTCCTCCCACAACACTGAAAAAAGTTTTACTAGTGGTCGTTATTCATTCTAGGGTATGAGTGCCCCAGTTCGGATATATGTCATCATCAGTGCCCAGAAAGTAAGAATGAAAACTTCAATTACTTTTCTCTCACAATGCGTATTTTCGGCATGTGCCCTTTTTCCGGAAAGCTCCTCAATAGGACTACATTTTGCAATAGGAAACCACAATCTCCAGCTCAGCTTAGAAACAACGTATGTACCAATAATGACCGTATGCACATATGTGCTTTTATGGATGAGCCAGAAGTTGTAGTTCCTAATCGTACTAAATGAAGTCTGAAGTCGGTTCAACCTAGGTATTTTGATCTGTTTCTCTAATGGCTGATTTTGGTTTGATTTCACAGGAAGATACGTATGAGAAAGGGATCGCAGATGACATGAGGGAGCTAGAGCTTCGATGGGCTTTTGAACTTGAGGAACAGGAAAAACAGTGGACGCACCAGGAACCTTCATCCACAAAAAAGTAGCACCTTGTAAGTCATTAGTTTCTTTTTTTCACTTCTTGGTTGCTTCTTGAAAATGAAACTACTCAAGCATAGTTTCTGATTGTGGTATTTCAAAATTTCTACCCCTACCTTANTAAAAAGGTAGGTATACGGTAAGGACATCCTAGATGGTCGTTAAACCTAGAAACTCATAAAAAACGGTCAAAATTCACTGTTTCATTGCGGTTTTTTTTCCTCTGCTCGACATCAGCGTATGATAGTCACGATAACGCAAAAAAAGTAAACAAAGTTCATAATTGCTGCACTCTAACGGACGAAATGATGCTGAAAAAAGGGGGCTACGGTACAGGACGCAAATTCCGCAGACAAGGTTGCTTGACGCAAAGAAGGTCATTATTTTCACTTATTTGGATGAATATAACTGAAAATAATAAGTTAGGTACAAGTTGAGTGTGAATTTACAGCAAAAGTGGAAGTATTTAGATGCAAGATGCTGGTTATGAAGCGTTAAAGTTGCGAACTTGAGTCGCAGACAGGCTACGGTACAGGACATTTCAGCTGTTTAGGACCAAAATTCTGATATTAAATGGCAAAAACTGCCTAAAGCTATGTTGGGACCTGATTAAGCGTAAAATTTTGAACAAATTTAAAAAAAAAAAAGGTCAGATTTTTCCATTTTGAAGGGCTAAAAAGTCGGGAGACATGGTAGAGCAAAACTTATTTGATTCTACTCTACTATCTTCTTTGTTTACATCGGACGGCCGGGTACCTGAGTATCGCAAACAATCGATTATGTTTCGAAAAAGTGACCCAGTGCCACACAGGAGTCTCCAAATTCGGGAACTGGAAAATGCTTAAAAGTGGCAACAGCTCACCCACTTACATTACGACTCTGTTTATCCTATGCCTGCCTCGAAAGTTAGGTTAGGTACGAGCGAATACTCGAGTTCGGCTCGAGTGCCGATAACACGAGTTTTTTCGAGTAATATGAGCTTTTCTGAGCCAGAAACACCAATAGCATCCAACTCCTGAATATTTTAATCATTCTCTTATTATTCTTGGTTTGTCATCATTTTTTATTGTAAATTCACATGTAAAAACTCAAAATTACTCAAACTGGACTCAAGCCCGACTCGGCTCGATGGTCATTTTCAAAGCTCGAACTCGGCCGGAAACAGTGACCAAATACTCAAACTTGGCTCAAATCCAAAAAACCAGGCTTGCACAGCCATAGTTATCGATAAAAGTCCATCCTGAATTTCCTCAAATCTACAATTTCTTACCATGAAAGGTCTATATTTTACAGAATGCGCAGTTATTTGGTCATTTCCAGTCTGTATTCAGGTCTAATTCAGGCCTAAATATGGGTCTAAAGGCGAATTTTGCTGAAATATGGGAGTTTTGTGGGTTTGCGGTCGAATGCCAAAAAATGAATATTTTCCGTCATAATCGGCCCTCATACCCATGTTTAGCCCAGTATTAGATCCAAATAGAGACCGAGAAGAACCAAATCTAGTGCATTTCACATAATATAGACCTGCAATGAGTGAAAAATCATAGACTTCAAAAAAGTTAGCAAGGGGGGGCCGAAAAATGGCCGTTACTTGTTACTAGGTTACTAAACTACCCCTCCTTTTCCGAGAATATCCTTGGAAAGGCAAAAGAAAATCGGACACAGTTTCATGCAATGATCAGTCTTTCTTCAAAGGAGGGAAGACAGGAAATCTTCAGCATTGTAAATTGAGATATTAATAGTGCATCTGCAAGAATGCGCATTTCGTTTCTGATATTTCAATATCTTTGATCTTACTTCATTTTTTAAAAGGAGAACAAACCAGCATGGCTTGAAGTTTCAAAAGAATGTGCTTTACTTAGTGAGAACAAGTCACGGAAGTTTTCAAGATGAAACATTAATTTTTCCATTTGATAAATAAAGTGAGACAGGAATTTTGCAATGTTAAAAGAAAGATACGTACTTCTGCAGTTTCTTTGTTGATATGTGGCTTCATAGTTTCACCATTATTTTACTTCTGTGTTAAAATCTGAATAGAAGGAGAGATTTATTATCAATGAAAATTCAACCTCTGAGGGTAGCATTGTCGATTTCTAAAATTCTCACTTTCGATAAAGCTGGTTCAACATCAATCGTTGTTACAACTGACGGTCAAAACAGTATGGAAAATGAAAACTTAAGCAATTGAATAAACATTACGTTCGAGTAGGGTATCATAGTCTCGACAAGAGCTAAAAATTAGAAATCTGATTTTAATTTTCTTTTCTTTTTTTCCAGATTTCTAGGTGTTTCTTCTAGAGCATGTTTCCAATAATAGGCAACAACCTCAACAGTCTGTTTCGAACCTCTGAATCAGCGTAATTTCTTGCACTTTTGTCAAAGTGCATGGTCAATCCTCTCTTGTAGTGTAAGTGCCTGAATACGTAACCGTTTTATCTAACACTTCTAATCAATTATTTTTTCAATTTCGTAAATTTACCCCTTTTCCCTCAGGATCCCGCAGGGGAAAGAAATATCGCTTGATTGTTTCTCAACTTTATAATTCTTTATGTAGACCCATTCAGTACATAGATTACTATTTTTGAAAGGTTTTCATGTCTAGTTTATTGTGATTTTAAAATTGATGGTAGATTTCTCGTTGTGATAGATTCTGACTAAAGGGCTCTTCACTTCCTCAAGTAATAATAGCAATGGCGTGGCGTGCTTTGCGATATATTGATTGATCTACCATTTAAACCTATGGAAAAGGATCAATAAGTAGGGTGTTTGCAACGAACACTTTAATAATCGATTCTTTGCTGTAGCTTCAAATTGAGAAATTTCTATAATCGATCATTCACACTTCGCCACTGAATAATAGGGCCTCCCCCTTGAATAGGTCGTGTAGTTGCTCCTACACAAATCGCATGGTTCGTGCAGCCTTGAAAATGCTTTATCCTGAAATTTTTTCAAGGCCTCAAGAGAGCTTGATTTTCTGGGAATGTCATGCAAAAAGTCTTGAAAATTCTTCAAAAAGTATTTGAATTTCAATTCTTGAGGCTGTATGAACCATGAACTGAAACAAATTTTACTAGTATTATCCATTGCTGAATTTCTTTGAAATCAAATATGAATTTTTGTCTCCAACCGGTTAAGAATGATTCTAGTTTTAAAATTTCTTCCTGTTCTCCAAAATTTCAGTTGTATTCTGAATTTTTAAACATCTCAATGCAAACACTTTCAAAGTTTTCTGATTTTAATTCATTAATCTTAGGATTGGATCTACAATTAGGATAAATATTGAAAATTTGGAGGATCAGAGAAAATGACCTAAGAGTCAGTAGAAAAATGAATTTACAGCATTGGTGAATATTCCGTCAGATAGCTTCAGCTTGACCGTTGACCAGATCTGAAAATCTTGGTATTACTTTTTATCATTCTATATTTTCCCAAAAGTCAGGGAATTTTCTCAAAATTGGTCCGGAAAAACCGTGAAAAGTCAGAAAACTCTAATTCTAAATCTCTGTGGCCATCCTATGGCTTAACCTTAACTCCTTGTGGAGCATTTGAACAGTTTTCCTCAGTCGAGAACCCTTTTGTCAGAATCAACAATTTATCTGTTTTTGTTAACTGTTTCAATTGAATTTTGTATCGACTTCTATTTTAGATCAATTTAGGAATTAGCCTTTCAGTGATGAAGAACCATTAGTTCTGGCCTATTCTATTCCTTATGGGTTCTCATTTTATATTGGTTTTGGTATTATCAAAGAATATTTCCCTTCATTGAATAGGAATTACAACTCAGATTTTTTTTGCCCTGTCCTACAAATGGACTGCATTTTGCAATTTGGAACTAAAAATTCTGGCCCGGTTTAAAAACAACATATGTACCATTGGTTTCCCTATGCTCATAAGAGTTTATTCAGATGAGCCAGAATCTATAGTTCCAAATTGCAAAATGCATTCCAAATAACGTACCATAAAAGTAAATAACCTCTGCGACAATAAGCCCGATGGAAAAGATCGTAGAGAGACAGCAGCTGTTTATCCGTTTGCACTGCTATACATGCTATACACTTCTTCATTCCTTTTTCTTGAACCCTCTTCGCTTACAACCCAGCGTTCACTCTTTTCCTACCTATTACTGGTTGTACACTTAATATGGCTGTCAAATTTGAAACGGCTACAGCCCTCTATTTTTTCCATTTGAACTGAAATTTGTTAGTTTGTTTCCTGAAATGTTCCATAATTTTTTCTCCAAAGAATTCATTTTTCAACTAATTCTTCCAAGACGATTGTGGACCAAAATTTTAAAAACCCAAGTTAATACACGAAGGAAAATTTGTGATCAAAATTTGTTAACTTGTAAGTGTTAAAAAATGTAATTAGTACGGTTTCAACGCAACCCTAATTTTACATTTTTCAATGATCTGTGTCCGGAGGAAAGCATATCCTGTCAAAAGCCAGTCAAAGAAGTTCTTTAGTCTCTTGACGTCTTGGAGGAATCTTCCACAACCATCCTTATCTCTGCACTTGACAAACCTCTGAGTTTTTAACGCTTTTTTTTAAAAAAAAAATTCAAAGAGATTACCTATCTTTTATCATATTTATGTGTTATTTATTCATTTTTCTCAATGGAATGTAGTCAGGTATTTTTCTTAGGTATATATCTTCTGTCATTATTATTCTATCAATGCATTAAAAATTCGCCAAATCTTCTTGCAATTGCCGAAACTTGAGACCTGGCTTTTATGGAATTTTTCTAATGATCGAAATGTGGCTCCAGTCCTAATCCAAATATCAGTGTTTGTTTAGTGGCTATTATTTTTCTATTCATAGTCTAATTTTTTACATTCATAGGTATATTTTTTAAAAAAAAAACTTCAAAATATTCTATTTTAGTTGGTACTTTACTTGTTGGGTAGTCATATTATATTTTTGGAAAAATCCGAAATCAGAGTTTGTCGGAATGTCAAGATTTTTCTATGCTTCTAGTTAAATTATATCTGAGCATCTGCTATCTAGACAATTTAGTTTTGCTTTTAAAAATGTTAAATATGTCAAAACTTTAAACAAATTCATGGGTTGACATTCGTAATGTCTGCAAGCAAAGAGGAACAAAATGGATGGCAGTGCCTCAAAATTTCCAATGGTGTTTTATTTTTTGGAGGGAAGCCTATCAATATTTTATCTTAAAATTTAAGAAGACACCAGTCATAGAATGATAGAAATCTCACGAATAATTTCAAGTAATATCTGCGGTTAATTTCATTTTAGAAATAAAAGTTTCGAAGAAATTTTGCCAAGCTCTAATGCAAACCTTTGCGAAGGCTTTCTGCTTGGAAAAAACCAACTTCATTCATATATCGATGAATTATTCAAGAAAAAGAATTTGCAGTAGGCTTTGTGGCCATGAATTACAATTTAAGGTTCTCTCCTAATTCTATTTTTAGTTCCTTTTATTGTACCGTATCAGTCTCAAATAGTCTCAAGTCTTAATTTTACCTTACCAAAATTGACTTTGAAAGTTAAATTAGTTTTGTCACACAGAGTAAAACTCAAAATCTGTCTTAATTCGAAAATAGGTACCTCAAATGTGTCAGAATCAGATGTGCAGAAAATGTGCACTTGGTGCAGTCACCTTTGTTCATAGATGTTGTAGTCTGTTTAAATTTCTATATGCCAAGAAATTTTGCGAAGAAATGTAGAATGTACAATCTTGTACTGTGCTGGGAAGTCAACGACAAATTTCCCATTTTAAGGCAGTCAACTTATTTTGTCCGATGTGAGCATGTTAAAATGTTAAGTTCCTAGCAATTTTTGGATTTTCCCTACTTACAAAGTCCTAGTGCACCAATTGAAACTGTTTTGAACCATAATATAAAGAAAAATATTCAAAAATTATGTAAAAATAGTCTAAAATTGATCTTGAACAAATCTCCTTCCTATGTGATCTTTCTCGTCTTTTAAGTAAGAGCGTACTGTCCAAATTTTTCTCTAATGCATGAACTTCCGACTAAAATTAAACAAATAGAAAGTTCATCAATAAAAACATCAAAAATTAGGCTATGTTAGTTGTTAGAAAAACTCACAGTTGTTATGGACAACTTGATATCTTGAATTTTTCTGTTGGAGTTCCAAAAAATATTTGTCTAACTGGGAAAATTTTTCACTTACTAATCGTCGAATTTTCCAAAAACCCTAGGTTTTTAAAAAGTTCAAAAATTGCAAACATATAAGAAGAAAGTAAAACAAATTGTAGCGCAGTTGAAGTTTTTTCTTTCCACATTACCAGTCTTTAATAAAAAAACTAAAAAATAGGAAATCTCAAAGTTGTTTTCTTATGTATCGTAAATGTAGCATTACAAATTTTATTTTTGTATTCGATTTTGTTTGCCAAAGAGTGTTTCCTTCTTTGAATGAATTTACCGGAATTGCATGATGTGAGGCAATTTTTATGAAAGTTAATTTTTCAATGTGTTCTAACCTTTTGTATCAACGCTTCTTAATTTGAATTGTGGGCTTCGCTCGATATCTTGAAAATTGTTAACGGTGAAAGCTCTATCCAGAATATCCCAGCATTTTCGAATCGGGTTTGTGGTTTTTTTTAAATTCAATTGCTCAGAAGGACCTGTATCCACGTGTATGTGCATTTGCATACTATCTATTTTTGCTGCAAATATTGTTATTGTGCTAATGTTTTTAATTTTTCAATTTTATTTTTTTCTCTTTTTTTTCAAATTTCCGTCTGTGTTATTATTGCAAAAATTTAAAGGGAGACTAAGTAGTCCTTAGAATTTCGACCCATGAATAAGCAGAATATTATCCAAGTTGCTCTTGTCGGAAAGCTCTTCGGTTACCCTATGTTACAGATGAGAGCAATAAAATTCTCAGGTTTGCATTGATACGGCAAAGAACAGTAAGTCATCATTGCCAGATAGTGTCGAAAAATCAGCACTGTTCTTCAGCACTTTTCCCCATTTAAAATATTCCTATTTTATTGCTCCACCTGGCAGCCTTGCAGTAAGTATATTTCTGTATGAGCCACGGTTAGCAAATGCTCTTAAGTGTCTCAAGGCTCATCCTAGAATGCACTTACTGCAAGGTTGCCGTGTTGAGCGATAAAATACGAATATTTTAAATGGGGGAAAAGTGCTGAAAATTCAGCACTACGACTTATTGTTCTTTTTCGTATCACAGCAGACCCGAGGAATACTCGTGAAAATGTCAGCGACTTTTCTTCTCGTCAGTTTCATCATAAAATTGTCATCCTTAGGCCGAAGTATCTCAAGCGCTATTTGTGCTAGGCAACATGCTGCCAAATTTCTCAAACTTATCAGATTTTGTACGGAGAAACTAATAAACAAAATCTCTTGCAGATTTTACCCAATATTTTTTTTTGTTATCAAGATTATTCCTTGAAATTTCCATGAAAACATGCAAATGTTTTCAAGGAAATATTAAAACAATATTGAGATGTTGCTTGTTATACTTTGGCCGGAAGGTGACAAAATAATAAAACATTTATGCTATGTATATTTGTTGCCTGGGTTACATGTAACTGAATAAGTGCTTTTTTTTAGATTCAAACTTCTTGCAATTTTGAAAATGGTTCGCATACGTGGTAGATACATTTTATGTAACAAAACTTGGACTAACATGTATTGTTTGAAGTGAGTGTAGCAAAGCTCAAAGGGGCTTTACCAAGCCAAAATTCCTGATTTATCCGTTTTATTAATAATAATAAAAAAAAAAGAATGTGAGAAAAGAAACTTAAATATATATTAACGAAAAATTGATTAATTATCTCTCTCGTCTAGTTCTTTGAAGTTTTTTCTTTGAACATCAGCAGCTTTATCGAAAAATATCCTTTGACGAAAGCAAATTTATGTATCTTTTTTATTCTACGAGTTTTTCCTATCATTTTACAATAATAAGACAGATGAGGAAGGTCTAGGTAATTGTTATGATTATGAATTAATAATTAATACTATCTGCATATTATATATGTTCGTTCTGTATGATATTTGTATGAAACTAAATTAGATTCTATTTTCATTCGTAGTTGTTTTGGGGCGACCCAAACGAAGTGGAATTTATATTCTGTGCTGTACCTATCTTTATGGAGACATGTTATACATGTATTTTGTGAATTAGTCGCGCATTTGCGTATGTTTACGCATGGATGTATACTTAACTCATGTGAATGTAACGCTGTAACCGTGCACAATGCATGCTTTTATTGTTTCTCCGTCGAACCAAAAATGTGCTCTTCTTCAGTTATTAACTGTTTTAAGAGGGTGAGACAAAAGTTGAAGCTCAACGAGCGATTCACTGAATTGAGCTGGTTCAGCTTTTAGCTCATCGAGTCAAATCTGCAGTAATTTACTAATCAGCAGGTCGATTGTTGAATAATTTATCGAATGACCTCGATCGATAAATCTCTACCTTAGCAATGCTTTTTATCGATCATGATCATTCAGTATGGATGCAACAGTCGGGCTGCAGTTCTGCAACTAAATTTTATGAAGTCTCAAAGCGTTTGCTTTAATTGAGAGGATTCCAAAATCGGTACATTTTTCAACAAAATATCTGGAAATTGCCGTGGTGACAAGTTCTATGTGTACAAGAATTTTCTTTCGATGTTTATTCTGATGAAGTCCTCTCGACCGAAGTCGGGGCCGAAGAAAGCCCTTAATAGGACAGACACATCTGTTATTATTTTGTCGTTGGAAGAGTTTCTATGATTGAATGAGAAACTATTACTTTAGAGAAAGTTATTGTTGAGTCCAATACTGCCATGCTAAGGAAGAACGCCGTATGAACATTCGAGAGTCGCCAAATTTCCCCGGATAAAAAATGTATTTTTGACGAAATCTATGTATATTTTTCCTCACAATTTTCAGATGTTCCAGGTTAAATTGCGTACAACATTGTCTTGTCAATTTTGGAAAATAATATTAGCAATTTCCCCAGTAAATTCGGTTTTTATTGAAGGAAACTTGGCAACGTCTGAAGGCTCATATGCCGTTTTTCCTTAGTATGCCAGAATAGTGGGACAGGAAGAGTTGAGACGATTTTCAAGGCTGTCCATCTTAGATGGCGTGGATTGGTCAATGAACGTCGGAAGGATTTTCGAGAATTACTGCAGATTTGGATAGTTAAATACGTTTGAACAATTAGGAAATTGAAAATTTTTTCACCCTGTAATGCTTTTTGCTCGTGGCAGGTGAACTAAACTCAGTCAGGAAACGCTATCCTTGCAAATTTACTCTCCACAGTTACTGGCACTTGAGAATTTTGTGGAATTGATTCAAAACTGATGATTAGAATTAATGGATACATCTACTCTTGAGAATTAGTTTTTCATAAAAACTAAGAAAGAAAAGAAGTTCAAAGAAAACTTAAGCTGGCACCTTTCTAAATGAAGGCCTCAGTTGAAGTTTGTTTCATTACTCATCATGTTCGTTGCTGTAATATTTACCTATCATAATAGTACTTACAGAATTGAAAGGCCTGGCCTCTTTCCTGACTGTAAGTTGTTCATCTTACTGTGATTGTCAAAGGCTGTGTAACCATTCTGTGTTTTACTTTGTCAAGGACAATGATCTTTTGAAGCACGTTTTGGTTATTGTCAAGACATGTTCGCATATTTCCTCAAGAATTGCAACAAACGCACTGTACTGAAGTCCTTTTTAAATTTTGATTGGACCCTCTCGATTCACATATCAATTCATGGATTTCTTTGCGTTTGATCGAATCTCTTTTTGCTTTGAGAAGCTTTGAGAAAAACCATGTGAAAGGCTTTACTATCTCTTTTAATGAATTATAAGGAGGTTCTCATAATCAACATGTTATCCCTTGGTTACCTCAAGGAGTCACAACAAGATAATGAAACATGAGCTCTTAAATGAATACCTTTCTCAACTGCTCTCAAATAGATTGCAATATCGTCTGATGTAAATTAGAAATTACTTACCTGTCACAGTGCTTCAAAGGATCATACAAACAGTCCTGTTCCAGAATTGTGCGTTCTGTACCTAATATTCAATGGTTAGGATTTTGTGCTGGGGGAGGAACTTAGGTTTCTACTTTGAGCTGACTCTCAATTTTTCTGTTTTACGGGTTCCTTCTTTCACTCTTCGTTGTTTATGTAATTGAGATTTATTTTCTGAAACTTATAAAAAACAAACCGCAAAATTACTGTGAGCCAGCTGGCTGAAACTCATTGCAGACCCTGACTAACTCAATGTAAGGTTTTCTTTAAGTGTTGACTTTTTTTAAAAGTCAAAACTGCACAACTATGGGGCACCAGATAAGGTGAAACCAAAGTATTCCATCATGTTTTCTCTCAAACATTTTTTCTACAAAACAAGACCGATCAACACAAGTCAGTCATTGCACGTCTTTTAGAGATCCCTAGCTTCCCTACCTTCACCTGATTTGCGTCTGTATGATGCAGAATTTGCTGCTCCCTTAAGGTATGCATAGCATTTAAACTTCCCACCACAAGTGCGCTGTAGGGTCTCAAAATTCGTCCACAAGAATGACTGACCTTCGTGGATTGGTCTTGGTAGAAAATTATTCGCACAACAGGAAGTTCAAAAATCAGCTTCATAGCATGAGCACCGATAATGTTGTTAATATTTTTGTGCTGTAATTGATCAGCGTCAAATGAACCATTCATTATCTCACTAAGGAGTTGATCTGCAAATTTCCTGTCGCACAAAGTGCTTTCTATGTTTTTGGAGAGGATGCATATTATATGGTGCTTTTACTCATACCTCTGTGAAATTGCCATTTGAGTTCAGTTTATTGGATAGGAACTAAGAACTTGGATACTTTCTCAAGACCAATTCTCTTTAAGAGCAAATCATTGGCAGATCTGTCTTTTCTCAAAGAAACCACAACAGACGGCTCATTCTTGCTAAACTCTGTCCGGTTGGTGTGAATGAAAATGTATTGAACCCTACGTTCCTCTCTCAGCTCAAAGCTAGCCGAACATTAAATTATATTTTTAATACTTACATATATTGTCATCCTAATTACTGTAATTTATGATACATTAAATAATCACAAAGTGTATTCATCTCTGTAAAACTCTGAAGGCCGGCGAAATTCAAATGCAAGGCAGTGGTTTTGGAGTCGTCGACATTATCTTTCAAAGCAAGTTTAAAAAGAAAAGTCTTATAAACTTAATCAAGCCTCCAACTTTTCATTGTCATGGTTAATAATTCTCTACAAGAATTTAAAAAAAGAAACCCTTGCCGGTTTTAAAGGTTGCTATTTTATTTGCGACTCAACTACTTACAAATCGTAAAGTCAAATTTATCTGCATTCTATTGATTTAAACCTTTTCATAAGTAGTGCAATTGGACCGAGTATATCAGAGAGGAACCAACGCACATCAAGTTGAAACTGAGAAAAAGAGGTCTGAAGTTTTATTCCTCCATTAGACTCAACGTAGAAAATAAACTTTAACCTTTCTTTTCACCGACTAATTTTTATTTATCGATTTTGAGTTTTTGGCAGGAATTATATACGACTGGTGGAACTCTAAAACATTCTTAACTCAATTTTTTCGAAAATGTGGGTTGGTTCCTTTCTGATTAACTCTGTCCAATTAAGTCTTGGAAAGCCCCGCTTACATGATCCTTTAAAAATCTCATACTTTTGGTTTTCTTGCCAATTTTTGCTCCGAGAAAATTCATGCTTAGATTCGTCCGAAAGAGCATAAAGTTGACAAAAATTTGAATTTAGTCTCCAGTTTGAAGAATTTTGACATTATGGTGAATGTATGAAGGCCTTTCTGACCAGACAGCATAAATCCATGTTGTAAACGAAATCGTGCGTATCTTCCCTTTTTTTTCACAAGCATCAAAAAGCAATTACATCATAGGTTTAGCAGAGCTGGTAAATATTGTCAGCTTTCATCATTATGAGAAACCGACCAGCACCAAAATATTGAAAATTAAAATTTANGGGGGGGGGGGGGGGGGGGGGGGTGTTTGCTGAGGTAGTCTCAGAGGGTCAGGAGGGCTCGAAAATTTGCTCTGTTTTGCTCTACGACCAACAGTTTAGGAGATGTTTGCATTCTTATGTCAAAAGTATATCCGTTTCAGGCATTGAAAAAATTTAAAAGCATTTTTCTAGCAACTACTGAAAATGAAATTTTCAAAAAAAACTGAGTAAGTTTTCAAATGGGGATGAAAATCGAACAATTTATCAATTTTTTATGGAAAAAGACTACTAGGCACAGAGGCAGGGCACTCCAAGTATGCAGGATCAGAGGAAGAGAAAAAAAGAAAAAATTAAAGAGATTTAAAAATATATTTCTTATTGATTCGTCTTACAAAATATTGAGTACAATTACTGTAGTTGCTTCCAAGGGATAAATAGAAAGCTTTCCAGTAACTTACTTAGTTACATACTGCATATCCTCTAAGTGTAAAATTAAGTTGTATCAAACAAAATACATTTTAACGTTCATTGAAATAAAGTAGCTTCACATATTTCATAGTACAATACAGTGCTGTTCTGCAGTGACGAGGAAAAACACCGTATGAACATCTGGATGTTCCCAAATTTCCCTCTTTGAAACATATTTTTTTAAGAAATTGAGGAATAATTTTCTTTTTCTTTGAAATTTTCAGACACAGTAGATTAAATTGCAAACGAAACTGATTGAAAAATTGAAAGACATATAAACGCAGGTTTCCCCTCTTAATTTGTATCGTATCAAAGGAAATTTGGCAACACCTGAAGGCTTAAATGGCGTTTTTCCTTAGCATGGCGGTATCCAACAACTCATTCTTTGATGAAAAACATTATTGTATAGGTACATTTCCCTGCCGAAATATTTATTAGGAAGAAACTTTAATGGGAATTGCAGAACAGAGCGTTTAGCTCTTCACCAGCTAAAAAATTCATAAGAGTACAATCTTAGGTATGTAAACATGGGTATATTCTGTTTGGATAGAAAGGTCCTCATATGTTACTTTAGAAGGAGTGTATAATTTCCACATTGCGAAGATTGACACTAAGTCATGTATTCTTCTCGGCTAATGATGAAACGTACTTTTGCCTAGGTCTTGTTTTTACTAGCCTACAGGGTTTTATAGTGTCACGTGTATGTTTACAGATATTGCATATATTTATCAAATTTTATTCTCTTTGTTAAAATAAAAATATATATTTTAAAAATAAAACTTCTCGAGTTGTGTAGTTCCGGCATCACTCCACTCAGTTTACCTTGGATGGTGATCAGTCCTTTATATTAGTGCGGCAACAAGACATTTATCACAACCCTGTGGAATTAGTACTATTAAAAAGCGCAGAAGTCCATTTTTCAAAATCGTTTTTTTTTTTGTATTTTTTAACTCTCCGGTTGTCTTTACAACATTACCTACATAAGAAAGCAGTGGTAGTCTAATTTTTGGAGCAGATGCACAGGAGCATAAATGCGTCAAAAATGCAAAAAAAAAATGATTTTAAAAAATTTGGCTTCAGTCCTTTAAAAAGTACTGATTAATGTACCAGGCCTAGAAAATAGAGTTTTCTTACCTACAACATGAATAAATGTTGAATTTTTCCTTAGAAGACTAAAACATTGTTGATTCAATTAAAATAGAAAGAGTATTGATTTAGTTTGCAGATTTCTCGTTACCAAGGTACACTCTACTACAGGTATGGACAAATGGAATTTTAGAAAGTCGTCGAAACGCGTAGATTTGGCAGCGTTCAATGGTACGACTGCAACGCCATATTGAAAACTTATTTACTTTCTGTTTTAAGAGTGGGTCTCGTCAATTTCGTGTTGTTTTTTCGTGTTCTTAGTTGAGGTTTTCGTTATTTTGAGTTCCATCAATTTTTTAAATTCATCTGAAGCTAACGGATCTACCAGAACCTCATTTTGAACTGCGCAGCAAAGACGACTACAACTTACGACGTCACTCAATGGCCTATAATCTCAGCGCTGCCACTTCGGCACCCCGTTTGTCCATACCTGTAGTAGAGTGTACCTTGTTCATTACAGTAATAGAAATTGCCATTTGGGAAAAAAAAGTTGAGGGTGGCTCCAAGCCTGTCCCCAAGAGCCTTGAAAATGTTGACCGGAAGTAAAGCAAGATTCTAGTAGAGTTGCCACAAAAAACCAAAGAGTCTCTTCTCACAAGAACCAGAGATGGCCTTGAAGAGCAAAATCAGGGTCGGGCTCTCGCCGCAGAGCTGTGCCCACCAAGTAGGCCAATTTATGGGCATACTGGCAAGGCGCAGGCACCCGGATTGTACCCTGAAACAAACATTGAACAAATGAGCAGATAACAAACTGGAGTTTGAAATGAAAATGTAATGGCAAAAATATCTGAATTAAGGTTTCAAATAACTTTCCCTCTTATTCTGATCAGAAATCATGACAGCTTTCAAAAACCAAAATAAAATATTCGAGATCTTTTGCGAACTTCAAAAACAAATTTGGACCCTTTAAAATTTACAGAAAACCTCACAGGATACCTTCAGTATGCTAAAAATGGAAATTTTCTCTTCATCCACCAATAATCTCTACAACAAACATGTTAAGACGTAGATACGTGACATGTAGGCACAACTATTACACATTTCAGTGGTTCTCATTGCAAGAGAAAACAAATCAACTTTCAAGATAGTCATCAGCAAAATAACGAGATGATTGAAACTCAAGCGCTTTCATGTACTTCGAACAGTTCTCAAAATTCAGGTACATATATTCAAGAACTGGTAGTCGAGGGGTTAAAAAATACCCCACGTGTAAAAGCTATGAATCAAATGAGTAGAGAGGAGAAGAAATGGCTAAGCCCAATCTGACAGGTTAAATATACCACTAGAAAACATAAAAATTCGAGCATTCTCATACATGATACCTCTGCAAAATTTTGCGTAAAGCATGATTTGCACAACGAAAATTACTGAAAGGTACTCCTAGCAAAGATATTAACGTTTTATGATGCATAAATTGAATCTCCCTGCTTATAAAAAAAAATATACTACTTGAGTTAAATCACATGTTAAACATTACCGTGGCAGTCTTTGCAGTATGAAAATATGACCACAGACGCTTCGGCTCAGCTGTTGTACATGATTAACACATTAAATGGCACAGGATGGGGAAGGAACACTGTTCATTACGAGGCCTGCCAAAACGTTGTAGCACGCAATTTAATTCAAATAGACTCTTGTTTTTCATGTGAAAGAGAAATTCAAATTCTTTGTGACCAATGCTACAACACATAGCTATCTTGATTTGAAGTCAATATTAGTATTTTTGTCGCAAAAATCATGTAATGCGAGACATTTTGAAGAGGGAACATAGATTTGAATGCTTTAATTCATACCTTGTCCAGTAGTTCATTGGCATTGCTGACAAAGCAACTCCTCGTGACAACAATTTTTGGATGAATAATTTAATAGCGTGCAATTAATGCACAACTTTTTATTAGTTCCTGATGATATTGAAGGAAGGATCTCTTTTAATTTAAACTTGGAGATTCCCTTAAAATAAATGAGATAACATTAAACTTACACTCCAGTTGTAGTAAAGATGGGTGAAGGCATATGTGATTCTTTGTATTTGATCCATAGAATAGTTCCCATCATCATGTATCACATGGTAGTATGTTGGAGTAACGGTTCCAAATCTTACAGACTGACTTACTATAAAAAAGTCAAACCTGGGAAAAAAAGGTAAAAAAATGTTCATCATCACAAGTAAATCATTGTGCAAAGTATCACACGGGTAAATGCTACTTTAGCAGAGTTATAAGCCATTTCTGGTCAAGAAATTTTCTTTCTTTCAATTCTTTATTTAACTGAATTTTGCATATCCTCAGCAGTTTTTCAAGACCAATCTGATCATTATTTTATCGGCCATGCAAAGTTTTGTAACGCACAAAGTAATGCAATACATCACCCTAATGACGTCATTCCTATGTGTATCCAAAACTGTACATGGATTTTTCTTAAAATAAGGTTTTTTGTTTTTTGTTTTTTTTATCTAAAGGTACACTTTTCTCAGAATCTAATGGGTGGATGGATTTCCAACAAATGTTATTGGATTTTTTTTAATTATTTTTTTTTCCTTATTATCCAGTAAGGAAAAAAAATCTGAGAAACTCTATGAGTGATTTTTTTTTTTAATTTTTTTAAAAACTCAAGAAAACTTCAGGTTTTTTAATTTTGAAAAAGCTGGGAGAAAATCCAAACTCTCAGAACATTGCATGCTAAAATGGAGATGTTGCACGTGTGAGGAATTTGCAATTAGACTATTGATTCTTATGTAAAAGTTTGCGAGAAACACGATGGTGCCACTGGTTTTCTCTGAAATAAATTCCCAAGCTTAAAAAAAGCTCTCAAGTTGAGGGCGTAAAGGAGGGGATATCCCTTGCTATCCTGAGAGTCCACGTCTACATCAAGACAAACTCTCCATGCAAAGATAGGGAGCGAATACATTGACAGGGCTGCCACTTTATTTGGGGACTCTAAAACTGGAAACACTGCAACCCTGCTAATGTATTTGCTCCCTATCTTTGCATGGAGAGTTTAGTTCGTCTTGATGTGGAGGTGGACTCTCAGGGTAGCGTGGGATATCCCCTCCATTTAGGCCTCAACTAGAGAGCTTTTTTTGAGCTTGGGAGTTGATTTCAGAGAAAACCAGTGGTACCATTGTGTTTCTCGCAAACTTTTACAGAAGAATCAATAGTCAAAGCGCAAATTCCTCACACATGCAACATCTCCATTGCAGACAAAACGGGAGGACACTCACTTTTGGGGGAGGGTAATAACATCATCCACCGTCGTTCCAGGGGGTGGGTTTTCATGGCCGCGATTGGTTGGTAGAAAGATTCTGGTGTTAATTCTTTTTGCGACTACAACGAATGTCAATTTTGGCGGTTCGACTTCCATTCTTTTAGACCATCTCTGCAGGAGTTTCCTCACATCCCCTACTTCTTTATTTTCAACTTCGGGAATTTGACCTTCGCCAACGCCGTCTCTGTAGATCAACAAGATTTTTGGAATCTTCTTGCGTTCCTTTAGATAGGCCTCGAGCGCCAAGTTCAAGCGAAAGCTGAGATCATGGCTCAACTCGCGGCCTTCCTCGTGGGTTGAGACTGTGCTGAAATATTTGGAGTAAGAGTCATTCAAGGTGGCAACTAGTGCTCCTTGCGATTTTTGTCCCCGCTCATGATATACATCGTACCCTACGACCATCATATCCTGCAACATAACAGAAACGCATGCAAAAAATTTTTTAAAACTTTGTATTATGTTAGGAAGACTTGCTATGGGATTAAATGATTTCACATTTTTTATGCGTTCACTACCTATAACCATGGAAATGTCATTTTAAGTATTTAAAGGTAAAACAGAAAATAAAAAAACCTGATCTTCAGCACAGGCATTGACTTTTTAAGGTACCTAAGAAAAAAAGAAAGGATTTGACTGTAAATAGAGTGAAAGCTTAAATGGAAGTATAAAATAAAGGACTTATTTTTCTTATGAAGAACACAAATTTTTATGAATTCTTGCAAAGCAGGATACCTAGGACAATCTGTCACATTATCACACTATTCTCCTCTTGGAAATTAATCAATCAACTAGTAATGGACCACTAGACAAGGTATGAATTTAAGCATTCTGATACATGTTTCTTAACCAGAATTTCACGTAGAACACGTTTCGCACAACGAGAATTACTGAAACCAACTCCTAACGAAGATATTAACGTTTTTATTTCACATTGGTTACGAGGAATTTGAACTGCCCGCTCACAAGAAACTCAAAGCTCTACGTCGAAACGCGCACTACAACGGTTTCAGCAAGCTTCTTAATCTAGAAATGCTCATTTCCCACCATGTGTTGTTCAAACTATCGGCAATTTGCTATAGCTGAGCCAAAGCGTCAAGATTGAGGTTGCCAGATTTTAATGTCGCAGAGACTGTCATGATGACGTTTAGCGCGCGATGTGAATCACATAGAGCATTGAGTTTTCATGAGCGGGTGGTTTCAATTCACGCATCAAGAATCATTAAATATCTTTGGAAGGAGTTGATTTCGGTAATTTTCAATGCGCGCATCGTGTTTTACGTGAAATTTTGGTGAAGAAACATGTATCAGAATGCTGAAATTCGTGTCTTGTCTAGTGGTCAATTGGGGAAAATCTGATGAAATAATTCTGTTCATTCTCAAAAAGCCTTGAGTGCCAATTTTTTTTTCAATTCTTTTTCTGTTCGAACTGCAGGATATTTCTGAAGCAATCACAATCTGATTTTAAATTGCAATCTTCTCAAATTGTTTGATCTCTTGAGATTTAGATCGGGTCGCCTTAACAGTGTTACGTGTTTGCCTCAAATTCTCATGTCCGGTTGCTTAAGTCTCTTGGAGAATGGTCGATTCAACTATTCGAGCATGAATACTGCTAACTCGAGGCTTCCATGAGAGATGACATAGAGAATGCACATCCTCAACAATGATTAAATGTATAATCCCTTTCATAACTGCAATAAAGCCACAAAATTAAGAGTATGCACTTGATGAGAATTGCTACTTTTCATTTTAAATCTCCTATCAATTCACAATCTTTCTCTTTTAATTGATCTCACCTTAACAGGGATATGCACACCCCATGGAGCTCCGCCTTTCTTGCAAATCATCTGCGTTGCCACTTTTGTGGCAACTGACAGGTTGCTTACATGTTTTTTAGCTGTGTACTCCAACACACATTGCGTCAAAACTGTAACACAATCAGGAAGACAACATCATTATTAGTTATGTATGTTGAAAACTTAAAAAAGTCATCAAGAAGTCTTCAATTTTTGCAGTAGTCTGCCTTCCCTGGGCGCCTAGAAATTGGGAAATTTGGGCCATTGAAGCGCCTGATAAAGATAACTTGTTCCATCAATTTTTACAAACTAAAAATTTTTTTTCGCTGATGGATGATGCCTATGCAAAAAATTAATTTAGCTCCTATAAAATTGTAGAAAAAATTGTTCTAAAAATTGGGTTTTTTGGCCAAGATGGCTCCTAAAATAATGAGTATTGCAATGGTAATAATTAGCAAAATGAAGAACAATTTAATCCAGGGAAAAGCTGCTGCAAAATAAAAAAGACCAGAACAAAAAACCAGGACGTTTTGAGCTCATTAAAACCTCATTTTCAACCGAAAAAAAAGAAAGCAAAAATCGAGTCATTGATATTGCAAGAACCAGTGATGAGGTCTGATTATGAATTAACAGACCTGTGTCAGTGCAGCAAAAGCAAAGCATGTGAGACAAAGATTATCTGAAAGCTGGAAATTTCATCACCAGCTCCCTCTGATAGCGACCAACTGGTGACAAGACTGAGAGCCACAGAGACCATTAACATCGGTGCTGTGATTACAACTTATGTCCCTCTACTTCAGGATGTTGATCACTTTGAGAAGACACAGAAAATATCACTTTCTGAAGGCATAAATCATAGCTTCCTCAAAATCGAAGCAATGCCTCTGTGTATCTTTGTGGTGCTAAAAGGCACTATTTTTGTATTGTTTTTTTTTTTTTTCGGTTGAAAATAACGGTGTAATTAACTTGAAACATCTCCGTTTTTTGGTGTCTGATCTTTTGTATTTAGTAGCAGCCTTTCCCCAAATTAAGTGTTTTGTTTTCCCTAGTAGCAAAGGCTGTTGAGAAAAGTTGTAAAAATCTCGTAAATTTTAAGAGAACTTAAAATTTACTTCAAAACCACTTGAAATTACGTAAAAACAACTCTTGAAATATTCGTATCAGGAAACCCTTTTTGGGGGTTTTTTTAAACATAAAATCGAAGAAAAATTTTAAGTAAATTTTTTAGATACTTTTTTATTTAACACATAAACTTCCTGCGGCAAAAACGGTAGAAAAAAAGTGGTGAACAGAAAGGTATAAAAGGAAAAGTTGCTGCCCATAAAAATTGAGGATATAGTTTGTTGATTTTTACGTAAATTTTAGGTTTTCCTTTGATTAAAATAACACAATTTTTTTATTCAAAAGAATTCCTTAAAGGGGTTTCCTAAAATGAATATTTTAAAAGCTTCTTTACTTAAAATATTAGAACTCTTAAAATTTACCAGTTTTTTACATTTTTTTGACAACTTTTAGTAGAATTTTTGTTAAGAGCCATTGCATGCTTAATTTTCCATTGCACGTTAATTAATGTAAGAATCAGTCAAGTTGCTCTTAAATTTTGTCAGAAAGAAAAAAAAGATACCCAAATTTATTTCTTTGAAAAATAATAAAAAAGATAAACAAATTGATAAAAATACAATAAAATAGAATTAAAATAATTGAAAGACATTAAAATACAGAAAACTTTAAAATAGATAAACAGAAATTAAAAATTCGCGGTCGTGCGCTGAACTCCCGCGTTCGACCTCCCGCTCCACGGTTCCCGCGTAATCTTGAACGAAACGGACGAGCGAAAGAGGGGGGACGGGGTAGAAGGGAGAAGGGGACGCGGCCGAAGTTTCTCAAACATTCCCGAACGTTCTCGGCACTACGGACGGGCAGCGGCCGCAGCCCAACCGGCCCAACTCAACGCATAGGAAAAAATCGATCTCTCTCGTACGTTCTGGAACGAGGTATCGAGCGTCGAGAGCCTTCGCGAAGTTTCCACGGCAACCCGCCGTACAGACCGCTCAGCTGCCGCGGGTATATAAAGGCGGGTGCTGCCTCTACAGGGCCAGTATTGAATTAGAAAGCGATCAAGTGCTCTAATCCAAAGCGATCTTATTCAACGCGGTCTTTTCAAAAGTGCGCTACAGTATACACAGTGCGATACAGTTCGGACTTCACAACAGCTCTACCTGTTAATATTCGCGAGATTTATTTTCTTCTGAGATTTTGTGTGCAGTGAAAAGTAAGTTTAGAAGTTTAAAATATGCCTGGAAAAACACCAGCAATTGGAATCGACTTGGGAACCACCTACTCGTGCGTCGGTGTGTGGCAGCAAGGAAAAGTGGAGATCATTGCCAATGATCAGGGCAATCGAACGACACCCAGCTATGTGGCATTCACAGACACGGAACGACTGATCGGTGATGCGGCTAAAAATCAAGTTGCGATGAACCCGAAGAATACTGTTTTCGACGCCAAACGCCTCATTGGACGGAAATTCGATGATCCGAAAATTCAAGCTGACATGAAACATTGGCCGTTCACTGTTGTCAACGATTGCAGTAAGCCGAAAATTCAGGTTGAATTCAAAGGTGAAACCAAACGATTCGCTCCGGAAGAAATTAGTTCTATGGTGCTGACCAAGATGAAGGAGACGGCTGAGGCATACTTGGGTGGAAAAGTTCGAGATGCAGTCATCACAGTTCCAGCATATTTCAACGACTCTCAGCGACAAGCTACCAAAGATGCAGGAGCTATCGCAGGACTCAACGTTCTCCGCATCATCAATGAGCCCACAGCTGCAGCCCTTGCGTATGGCTTGGACAAAAACCTCAAAGGGGAACGCAACGTTCTCATTTTCGATCTCGGTGGTGGCACGTTCGACGTCTCCATCCTTACAATTGACGAGGGCTCACTGTTTGAAGTGCGATCGACTGCTGGCGACACACACCTCGGCGGTGAGGACTTCGATAACCGGCTTGTCAACCACTTTGTGGAGGAATTCAAGCGTAAATATCGAAAAGATCTCCGAACTAACCCTCGTGCTCTCCGAAGACTCCGTACAGCAGCGGAGCGCGCCAAGAGGACATTATCATCAAGCACCGAAGCCAGTATTGAAATCGATGCTCTGATGGACGGCATCGACTACTACACCAAAGTCTCGAGAGCCCGATTTGAAGAATTATGTGCAGACTTATTCCGCTCGACTCTGCACCCTGTCGAAAAAGCCCTCAACGATGCCAACATGGACAAAGGGTCCATCCATGATGTCGTGTTGGTTGGAGGCTCCACGAGGATTCCCAAAGTGCAATCTCTTCTCCAGAATTTCTTCGGTGGCAAAACTCTGAACTTCTCGATAAACCCCGATGAAGCTGTGGCCTACGGAGCAGCAGTTCAAGCGGCTATTCTCAGTGGTGATACCAGTTCAGCAATCCAGGATGTTCTACTTGTTGATGTGGCGCCTCTCTCTCTTGGAATTGAAACAGCAGGTGGAGTTATGACGAAGATCGTCGAGCGAAACGCCAGGATTCCATGCAAGCAATCACAAACATTTACAACCTACGCTGACAACCAACCAGCGGTGACAATACAGGTCTACGAAGGAGAACGCGCCATGACTAAAGACAACAATCTGCTCGGTCGATTCGACTTGACAGGAATCCCACCAGCGCCACGTGGGGTACCCAAAATTGACGTTACATTTGATCTGGATGCAAACGGAATCTTAAATGTGTCCGCCAAGGAGAACAGTACAGGAAGGGAACGAAACATCGTTATTAAAAACGACAAGGGTAGATTGTCAAGAGAAGAGATTGACCGGATGGTCAACGAGGCTGAGCAGTACAAGGAGGAAGATGATAAACAACGCGCCAGGGTGGCCGCACGCAACCAGCTTGAAAGCTATATCTTCAACGTTAAACAAGCGGCTGAGGAGGCAGGCGATAAGCTTAGTGCGGCTGATAAACAATCAATCCTGGAAGACTGCCAAGCAGCTCTGCAATGGCTGGACAACAACACGCTGGCGGATGTGGAGGAATTCAATTACAAATTGCAAGAATTACAGAAGAAATGCTCTCCCATCATGAGCAAAATGCACCAGAGTAGTCAGAATAGTCAAGGGATGCCAGGAAAAGGCGGTATGCCAGGTCATGGAATGCCAGGACCAGGTGGAATGCCAAGCTACGGAATGCCAGGACAAGGTGGAATGCCAAGCTACGGAATGCCGGGACAAGGTGGAATGCCAAGCTACGGAATGCCAGGACAAGGTGGAATGCCAAGCTACGGAATGCCGGGACAAAGTAGAACGCCAGGCTACGGAGGGTACCACCAAAACACAAGTGGAGGACCCACAATTGAAGAAGTGGACTGAATTTCTTAAAATCATCCATGAAGTCTACACAAAGATCTCATTATTCGGTATAATTTATATGCTTAAGGGCAAAAAATAGAAAAATACATCCATTGATTTAGAGCTCAACACTCGATTTGGTGCCAAAATTTTTTGACAGTTCCTAGCAAATACAATGCAAAATAACTGTACATATGTATACATACGTAAATATGTAGACAAATAATATTTTTACTTTTGATAATTTCTTGTTACTGTATCACTGTTTATTTATTAATAAATTTTTAAATGTTATTTTATACCTTAATTATTAGTGTTATTCTTGAATTCAATATTCCCTCCGTCATATGGAAATTGCACATTCAAAAATATCGGTGAAAATCCTTAAAATAGAGGAAAATAATTATAGAGCCACTCTTTAGGGGGGGGGAATAGTGATGATAAATCACAGATAACTAATGCAAGTACAGGTCAATTAAGAAGAAGCAATTCGCTGAATTTAATATTAAATGTCATTTCTACATATTATGAAGAAATTATTTCAAATCCTTCTATTTTTATTTCAGTCAAACTTTTCGATTCTTCTGAATACAGACGACCATAAAACCTAATACGGAAAATAATCTCACAATTCATAACAATCAACATTGAATTAGACTCATGCATTACATCCGATAATTTTACGGACTCAATCAGAAAAAGACAGGTGATGACAAGAGCAGGTTGAACTTTACGATACAAATCAGAAAAAGGGGGAAAGCCGCAGCTTCCTCATCAATTAAGTAAAAAAAGGTCAATTATCGCAAAGCAACAGCACTATCAGTACAATGCTGCCGTGCTAAGGAAAAACGTCGTATGAACATTCGAGAGTTGCAAAATTTCCTCAAATAATGTTTTTTCTGAAAGAAAGTTGTACAGATTTTTCTTGGAAATTTTCAGACATTTTAGATTAAAAAGCGTACAATATTGTCTTAAAAATTGGAAGATAAATATTCACAACTTTCCCAGTAAATTTATACTTTATCAAAGGATATTTGGCAACTCCTGAAGGTTTGTACGGCCTGAATGGTACATATCAACAGATTCTACCATACTTTCCTATCAAAGGTGATTACTAAATGATCCAAGGACTAGCCGGCTTTACTATGGTTCATTTCATCTGTTTTCAGGACTTCAGGAGAGATTTTGTCTTTTCCCACAAAAAGAGAAAAATGCTTCATGTTGATTCTTCAGAGTTAAAATAAAGGGTGATTCGTAGTTAAACTGCCCGACTGCAAAGACGCGTTACATGGGTCAAAATAAGACTTTTCTTCCATGAAATTTTATTCAAAAGAGATTTTTATAGATTTTAGAATTAACCATTCAAAATTAAAAATTTCAAAATGATGTAAGTGACCCATAATGCTATCTATACCCCTCTAAAATTAGCCAACCTTGCGATGAAGATATGCATTCTCTCTCTGATCATTTCTGAAATCAATTTATCCTCTGCAAGAGGAGACCTCTATGTGGGGGGGGGGGGGGCGCTCTTCAAACCTTTGTGTTGAAATTATACTTGTTTTTCTCATGTTCTTATTTCTTGAGCCTTCTTAAAATCAAGGGACCAATGAAATTTTGTTACAACAGTCGTTTTCCTGAGCGATTACACTCACCAACGGACACGCAAAGAGCACCTTCAGAAGAAACAGTTTCCTACCTGGTTTATCAAGACAGCACACCTGCTTAATGGCTGCATATCTATCCAGCCTATCAGTGGGCAGGAATATCAGCAACATTTCACACGAGTTTGTCTTTAAAGCATCCTTGATTCCTTGTAAGAATCCTGCGATATTGTCTTTTTCAATTTCCTGACTGTAAAAATAATTATTTTTCATTAATTAGAGGAATGCGATGATATCGATAGAGAAAAACAACAATAGTTCCATATTGACAGTTCAAAAAATATTACAAAGGAAATGTTATTTTTTAGATAGAGATATGAAGTTTTTACTTAGTTTATACAGGATGATCCAGAACATCCCCACCAATCCTCTCCCTCAGTTATTTTGCGTTGTACGAGGTCAAGGACCAAGGGAACAAATAGGGAATCGATCCCAAGGAATCTGAAATTCATCGTCCCAAGCCCCCAGCTTTCTTTTGCCGGCAAAAGGGGGATCTTCATTCTAAAAGTCGAGGTTCGTGGTTAAATGTTAAAATTTTCCTACCAAAATAAGAAAGTGCGGAATATTCTAACCTAAATCAGGACCAAACCATATAAAATTAGCCCATCCCTTTTCAAAATACACACTCCTTTAGAGAAGGGACAGAGCTCTCTCCATAAAATAGCAGGGGCAAGGTTGCCACAGAATTTAGAAAATGAAATTCTCTGACATTTCCTTGTCACATTTTGATCAAATTCACTGACAATTAAAGATATGACAGATGGTTAAGAAGACGTAATTTGAAACATCTTTTACACAAAATCTGTTGTTCAAAACGTCAAACCTATTCTATAGGGGCGTATAAGGGTGACTTGACAATTTTTCCCAGACACTTTCCTCATTTTCTCTGACATTTCCAGGTTTTCCCTGAATCTTCAGAATTTGCCAACATTTCTCCGTATTCCCTAATTGAGGCGATCTTGCAGGTAGCTGAATTGACACGGAGGCATGAAAAAAAAAAAAAATATTCCCTGGAGAATTGGCCCAAAGAAATCCACATCTGATCTCTCTGAGGCCCAATTGATGCGGTACAAGAGGGGGCCTTTACATTTTTGAAATTAAACACTAAGAGTCTCTTTGTGTCCTGTCAGCAAAGCTTACAGGGGCATCAAGTCCATCAAATTTGGACTATTTGAAGATGATCACCTGAGAATCATCACATTTATTTTCCGAGACTCTACTTCGACCTGCCGATTTCTTTGAGGGGAGCACTGTGTCCCGTCTTTGGTGTTCAATACATCTGACAGAGATAGAGCGATTGTGGACCTTTTGGTGTTGAATAAGATTAAAATTGTCAGCACTTTCTGATTTTGATAGGATATTTTCAAAATTTATCAGGAACTTGAACCTTAAAAAGCAGGACCCTCTTTAATCCCCTAAAGGAAGCCAGGAGGGCCTCCAGACAATGAAATTCGAATTCCTTGGGGTTGAATCCCTATTCATTCCTCCAGTCCACAATCTCGTCCAACCTGAAAAAACCAAGAAGACAGCCTGGTGCGGGTGGTCTAGATCGCCTTGTATATTCAAGGCTAAAATTTCTAAATTAAAAGTCCTGGAGGACAAGGCGCCTAGGTGCAGTTTTTGAAAAATTGAGGTATTAATGATTTCAAGTAAAACTAGTCTTAATGTATATTCTGTGAAGAATTCGCTCTCAAATTCCAATGTTTAAGCACCAAAAAGTCACTTTGAACTTTCTTTCCAGCATAAGGATCCATGCAATTTCAAATCTTGAGACATTTATTTGTCGAAATAGCAAAAACTGCAGTTATGCGCCTTGTCCTCCAAGCTCCTTAATTAAAATGTAACTTTACTCTTTTGATGACTTGTAGATGCACTGAACTGCGCAGAACTTCTTCCTTTGGACACTATACAGGGTCATCCGTCATCCGTCAAAAACTATATTACACATGTAGACAAAGATCAACTTCCTTAAAAATTTGCCTTCAGTCATCCTTGAAAGCCTCCTTTTCCGTGGATAGTTACAATAAATAAAAAGCTGATAGGAGACAAGCAAAGAAATCCTGAATCAAGTTGAAACTTACTAATTAGGCTCTGCAAAGGTCACGCCCATTCCTCTTGATGCTCTCCTGACATTAGCAACAAAATCACGGGCGTTTTGTGCACTTTTTTTGATAACTATCACAGTCCAATGAGTAAGATGTTTAGGATCAAAAACAGGATTCTGGCGGAGTTGACTTGTCCAATCTGCTCGAGAATCGACTTTAAAGTTAATGCTTTTCTCATCTCTTTTGCCTAGCAGGATTGTCATTGGATTCTGGATTCTACCTTCAAATCTCATCAGATCTGGAGCAAGTTCCATGTTCCATGGTGTCAAATCCTGCGCTATCTGTAATCAAATTATGTCAATAATAATTAATCACCAGATTCATGCAGAAGTGCAGAAACTTTCCGATCACACTATCACTATGAAAACATGGGAAAGCCAGCTCTTGAAAGCATGAAAATCGCGAATTTTTTGCGAAACTATCTATATTCTTGGATTCAACATGATAACAGAAAAAGTAAGACTAATGCATCATGAGTAATTTTTATTATGTATGTATTATCGGGCCATTATGATCTGACACTTCCAAAAATAAATGCAAGGATTTGATCGGAATTAGCTTAACTGCATTTCGTATCGCCTAATTTCTCTAGACATTAATGTTACTGAATAGAAAACCAAGCAGAATAAAACTTTGTAACTTTCTGTGAATTTTTTTAACGGTTAAAAGTAATACTCATGCCATTTTAAAACAAAATTTATCTTCATTTTTTGTAATAAAAACTTAAAAATTAGAAGACTAGCAACTACTGAAGGCTGATAAGGCGTTCTTCCTCAGCATAGCAGTGTTGGAGAACACAAAGACAGTAAATAATCTTTAAGAAGCTTAATCAGCTAAACAATTAAAAGAAAATGTTTGAGATTCTTGCAAATACAAGCTTGCAGACGTTTTAAACAATTTTCTCCTTAAATTAAGGAATTTAGTTGTCAGCAGTTCAATCAGTCATCCTCAGAAAGACTTAAACACAAAAAAAAATCGAAAATCGAGTTTTTGGTTGTCCGTACTGCTTGGACATAGATGCATCTACAAGCAGAAAAACGTATTTTTAAGGCCTGAAAAATATCTGACAAGCCCAGTCACTCACAGAAAAGCTCAAACACCAAAGCATTGAACAGTAATTGTTTATATTGATTAGATCCAATTTGAGTCCATCATGTGATTGCAAGTTATCTGGAATTTTTAAGAATGAAGGGGAATACCTAAGTTCTTTCCGACCAAACATGTATTGGTTTTAGAGCTTTTAATAACGTTTTTGCACTTGTGATCGTCAGCAGTGTAACTATCTTTGAGTAAGTTAAAATCGTGTTTTAGGTAGAGAAAAGTAAATGAAAGTTTTTGAGCACACTACGGCTTGAAAAACTAAAAATTTGACTTGAATTGAGGAAAATATAATATGTATCTTATTATACATGCAATTTCGTTCATTCTCAAAAATACTTTGGAGCGAAATAGTTTGTTTTTTTTTTTTTTTTTTTTTTTTTTTTTTTTCTATCTCCACTCAAATTGTAGGAAAATTTCTTAAACAACCAAAATCTAATAATGAATTAATCTTCTCACACAATCATTTTCCTGACCGCTAAGATTTAGAGGGAGATGATGAAAAACAGTTTTTGCTCATTTTTCTTGAATTCTCATTTCTGCTGCTTAGGTTTCTTTGAGAGTGACCAATTCAAAGGTGTTTTTCCTTGAATTCAGGAATTTTATTGCCGTCAGTTGTTGCAAAGAACTTGACTGATTAATTAAAGATCCAAGAAAATTCACATGACCTTTCCAAAGTCTGCGCTAAAATTAACAGGGGTTTATTTCTATCGGTGCTACCTTAAACAAAAGTTAGGGTGAGGATGACATTTTTCACCGTAAGAAAGCCAATTTCCTTCATTTTAACTGAATCTGGTTGTTCCTGTAGTAGTAAAATCATCAGAAATAGATAATACCTCTGATGTACTAAATTTAATTCATGCCATTCAACTGGTAAGTGAAACCTTTGCAGCAACTAAGATCTTCAGAATAAATTGGATCACTCAATGGTCTGGTCTGCTCCTTCGGCTTATTGTAAAATTTTTAAGTTAATTTGTTCCATGACAAGTAAATCATACATAGTGACTGCTTTTCAATTGTCTGGCGAGTTTATTCCTGGCGCAATTAGGCAAAAGTACTGATGGCAGTTTCTGATCATTCTGGATGAATCACTAAATACAAAAAGGGCACATGTCCAGAAAACCAAATTGTTCAGGAGACACAAAAAACTGTTTATTTCGTGGTAGATATTTTTTGGAAAGTCGTTATGTTTAAAAAAATATCTACCACGAAATAAACAGTTTTTGTGTCTCCTGAACAATTTGGTTTTCTGGACATGTGCCCTTTTTGAATTTAGTGATTCAGATGACAACTTTCAGCTTACATCATTTTTAACTTGTTTTTTTTTTGCAATCCGGAAAAATACGCATTAACACACTGACAGGAAGCCTATTAATGGAAAAACCACCTGAGATATTTCTGGCTTCAGATAAAAAGCACCCTGAAGAACAAATATATGAGAGCAACTTACTTCAGGTACCCTCAAGCGATGGTTAAACGCCATGAGTTTATTCACTCTTTCTTGCGGACAAAGACCTGTGTGTTGTGCCACAGTCTTCATTAAACGGAAATTCGACCGCATTCCATCATCCAATCCTGTCATAGAGCACAGCTCAGGAATTAGGTATATGAATGAAGCCATTCCAGCTCTCAACTCCCTCGCTTTACTCTTATGAATCAACATGGGTTGGTTGAGGTCTCTGATTGTTATGCCCCATTTCTAAAAAAATAAAAAAATTATCGATTATTCTGTAATAGAGAGAACTTTGAAGCTTTCATTCAAACGATTTTTTTCTTGAGGACTGTTCGAAACAAAGAATACTGTTTCTTGAGTTGAAATTAATTCATTATACAAATGGACTGCCAGGAAGGGTAAGAATGGATCGTATTCGATAGTGGTTTGATGTATCGTTTGGTTCAAAACAATAGAACATAACCTCAAACCAAAATTTTTAGACATTTGTTAGAAAAGCTGAAAATGAGAAAATTCGTAGCAACTTTAATTCAGCCATTTAAAATTAGCCAATTACTACTCATAACGAATCAAAAATCTATAAAAAAAAACCTGTTCTGTCAGATTACTCAATTGACTTTTGAAGCTGTGTTTATGTTTCGAACCGATCGATATCGATACAATCTCACCCGTTTGATGTATCAAATACGATCTATTAAAGCCTTGAAAGATATGTTTCTTTCTGGAAAGATGGGTATCAATATGGGCCCACCCTGAATTTTCTGAACTTTACTACAGTGAAACCTCGGTAAGTCGGTTCCCGGATAAGCCGGTAACCCGCTTTAGTCGGTAGAATCGCCCGGTCCCGTTTATCACCCATATAACACAATGCTAAATAAGTCTCGGTATCTCGGTTTGGTCAGATTCTGAACCTGCTTAACTCGGTGAAATTTTTCCATCTCGACCTTTTTTTCTTCGATCGTCACCCGTGATCAAGCGTAGGTACCCGTGCGCGGTGCGGGTCGGGTCAAGTTACGCCACGAAGGGTGAGCGAATCTCCGAGAGAGCGCAGCGCAGTGCGAGAAACGACATCGGAAATAGAGAGATAAGGAATCAAAAACACTCGATAACAACACGAAAGATGAGAACAGTAGAGAATAGGATATCTGATACCGCGTGTTATCTTATCGCGCGTGTGAAAACACGCATGCATAATTAAGCAATTTCACGCATCGATGAGTTGACAGGTCCAGTCGGCACCGGCCCCTCTCCCCCTACCATCTTGCATTGCCCTTCCCCGCTCCCCCCAGGAATCTTCCGCAGAGTTTTTCGGGGATTTCAGCGAGTATTGATACGTTGCATTTTCAGTGCAACGACCCGCCATAGCGGGCGGCCGCGGCGCATCACCGCGCGGCATGCCGCGTGGGGTGCGCGGGGGGTGATACGCGATGGGGTGCCGCGGCACCCCAACATACGATTAACCCGATGACTTCATGATGCCCTGACACTTTCAACACGCAATTTCAAGTGCATTTCATGAAATTTTACCATTCAGTACCATTTTCTTCGATCAAATGGCTCTCCAAAACACTCCTATGAGTCACTCTACACGCACGTTTGCGTTTGTCCAATTTAGGGCGCGAAATTCGAAAAAGCGCGGCAGGAAAAGTGGCAGTCCGCCTAAGTCGGTAACCCGCTTAACTCGGTAAATTTCCTCGGTCCCGATGGAAACCGAGTTACCGAGGTTTCACTGTATTTTTTTATCTGATTGAAGGTTATATTCTATGAAAGGGATCAAAATTTGGTTATTTTCAGTCTATTTATAGGTTTAATACCGGCCTAAACATTGGTATGAAGGCCGATTTTGGCGGAAAATGAGAGTTTGCAGCTGAATGCCAAAAAATAAGCACTTTTTGCCGAAATTAGACTTCAGACTCATGTACAGGCCAATATGAGACCGGAATGAGACGAAGAATGACCACATTATGATGCACCCCGTAAAATATAAATTGCAGACAGACAGTCAACTCAGGCATTTTGTCCAATTCCTAAGCAAAGTTTCAAACATTCTCATTCAGATTAAAATTCTAAATCTTCAGCTAATTTTGGACACAATAATTAACTGTCTTCATTAATAGGAATATTTTAAAAAATTTGCATCATTCTATGATCGCTTTAATAATTTCTGGCTCAGAAATGAACATTCATTTCAAAAGATATGGCATTTTTTTTAAAAATCAGAGTTTTTACAGTTTTGAAGGTTAAAATGTTTATAATTGTACTATTATGTATATGGTGCGTTATATCTGTATGAGCATTTTGAAAAAGAAAATACTGTGATAGATCATAATTTGATGAATTCTTACTTCCAAAATATTGGAAATTCGAAAGTTCTTGGTAAAAACATATTCCTAACGTATAAACTTCCTGAACTTTCAAAATTTGACTTTAAGCGTTCAATAAAATGCCTAATTTGACTATTTGCTGGCAACATACACACCTTCAATGAGCAAAAAATCATTGAGCTAAGGGAATTTAGCTAGAGTGGACCCAAAAAAGGCTCTTATTGATACCCCTCCTTAGAAGCAGAACCTTGATGTGAAAAATTAGCATTTACAGCTTGCATTAGAACCAGTTGATTGAAAAAGCTCACTTACAAAAAAACTTAGATCTATGTATACCTGAACAACCACTGCGAACAAACTTATTGTTATTCAAATGACATGAGTTAGGTTTTACCCTACTTCTCTGGTGCATTTGGCTCGTCTATCATATGTATCTGGGAACTTTGTGGCAGAGAGAGTTCCTAATATTTTGCCGACACTAAGTCACCTCTACAATTCAAGTTTGAGAAATAATACTCACATTCTGAAAATAGTCGCAGTAACTTATAATGGTTCCATCTTTCATTTTGAAGGTTGATTTTGGCGTAGTCTTATAGTCCACATCATCAACCCGATAATATCTATCATTGTAATTGGTGAATACCGTTTTTCCCAGCATGGCCGCTTTATAAACATCCTGAAACTGATGTGCAAAGAAGTATTATGAGGACTGAATCTGCTAAACACTCTAACAGAATCAATATATTTCATTTAAGTTGCTAAAATGAGGGGCTTGGAGGACAATAAGTGCAAGTTTTACTGTTTCGAGAAATACATGTTTGAATATCTTAAAAATTGTATTCAAAATATTTAAATTGATGTAGGTATTTCATTTTTTTTTCCTCTTCTTTTTTTTAAATCTCTTTCTCATTTTTTGTACTTAATCATTGTTTTACTTTATGATTGTGTCTTTTTCTAGGTTCAATTGATAATTTTCTACAGTGTACTTATGTTATTCCCATTTCCTTTATTATTTTATTTCATCATGTAATTTGTGTTTCAAATTCTTAAATGTATTCAAACTATCAAAATTTTCAAAATTGTGTTCAAGATATTCAAATTCATGCATTTCAATTTTTTTTCTTAACTATCTTTCATTTTTAAGGCAGATTAATGTTGTTCTTTATTTTATGTTTAACTTTTTGAATAAATAAAAAAAAAAAAAAAAAAAAAAAAAAAAAAAAGAAAAAAAAGTTCTGAAATTACATGAATCCTTGTGGCGGTGTTTGCTGGTGGGCTGAAATCATCTTTAGGCATCGTTTTGCTTACTTGACTCAACTTGACTGTCAGCTTTTTATTATGGCTCTTTCGCCCCTTGAAAATAATTTTTTAAACTATTTAATGAACTTCTTAGTTTTTTCACAAAATTTTACCGATTGTTAACTATTCTGCAGTCCTGCAAAAATTCCTTGCAACTGCCCCATTACACACTTGGAACTCTTTATAAATTGATATAATGAGCTCTCAGACTCTCAAAATCTTGGTATTTTCACAATCTATATCTACAATTCTTTGGAGCTAATTTTCCTAATTTTTAAGCTATTGACAAGTACAATCTTTGGTAAAGCCTACTGTGATCAAATATTTAAAATATATCGTGAGTTTTTTACTGCCAAGAAGCAGACCTCTGACAGTGCAAAGAGCTGATCAGAATTTTTACCTGATACTTCTAAGGGCGCTCGAAAGCACTGAACCTTGACAACTAACAATCGGTACTTTGTACTGCCAATCAGTTTTCTATGAACTCAATTGAACTTTTCCCTGTATTAAACTAATTGGGTTTCTCTCTGGAGGAAAATTTTTCTTGACTTCATTGAAACTAATCCGATCCACACAAATGGGTCCCTTTATATAAACATGATCTTACGTTGTGTTGACTTTGTTGCCAGCAGCTTCGAGCTACATCCAACGCAGTGTCACTCCGCATGACCTTGGATATAATTTCTGTGCACATTAAAATGTTGTGTTCATGCCGTCGAATGCTGGTTAAATAACCAGGCCACAGAGTGAGATTAAATTCAGTAATCGGCACCTGAAAAATTAGAAAACAAGTTTGAAAAGCCTAGGATAGAATGAAAGTCAGCCTGATTGAAAACGGATTTATGAAAGGCATTTATTTTTTAATGATCACTGCGGAAAATAAAACAAGCACAAAGAAGATATTTTCTAAGTTTCAGGTGATAGAATATTTCTGCAAACTGATGACAGCTCTACTGTAAGAATCAATGCTTACAAGGCTGTAATAAAATATTGAAAAAATAATACTTTGGGTTCACCACAGAATTCAGAGTATGAGATTTCTCGGCACACTTTAAGGAAATTCCCTGACAATTGAAGTTGTGCCAGATGGTTATAAATGAATAATATGAAAGTTTTCAGGCAAAATTTAATGTTCAAAACGTCAAATCCGTTCAAGAAAGTAAATTAAGATGTGTAAGAAGTAAATGAGTTTTTTACATTCAAAACAGTAAATTTAAACCAGCCACTAAGAAGACCAGAGTTGGCTTTTGTCCACTTCGGCATTGTAAACTAACTTCTAAGTTAAGCTAATAACCAAACTTTGGTTTTCAAAAAAAATACACAGTACGCATAAATTTGTTGAGAAGAGTTCAGACTGATGAGGAAATTATTTCATCATAAAGTGCACTGAAATATTTTTGATACTAATTTGAAAGACTCAGAAAAGACTTAATTTTGAAAAATTAACGAGCGAAAATTGAAAATGACCAATGCAGGAAACACTAATGTCTTTTTTAGAAGATGAAAATGGAAATAGATCACTTGACAAGGTGCAAATTTAAGCATTCTGATTTATGTTTCCTGGCCAAAATTTCACATAGAACAGGATACTTGAAACAAAAATTACTGAAACAAAATCCTAATTAACAGATAAACGTTTTTATTTTTGATTCGTTACAAAGATTTTGAATTCCCCGCTCACAAGGAAAACATGGGTGTACTTGAACCAGAAGTGTACTTCAACAGTTTTGGCAGGCTTCTTAATCAAGCAATGTTCCTTCGTTCCTTGCGTTTTTCAGAGTATTGACAATGTGCAATAGCTAAGCCTAAGCAGCAAGATCGAGGTTGCCATCTTCCCACACCACAAAGACTGTTTTAGTAAAGTTAGTGCACGATTGTCTCAAGTAAACTTTTGTTTTTCCATGAGCGGGAGGTTTGAATTTCAGCGTTGAGAAACGTTTAATATCTCAGTCAGAGTTGATTTCAGAACTTTCTGTTGTGCAAAACGTGTTCTACAAGAATATTTAATGGGGAAGCATGCATGAAAATGCTCAAATTCACACCTTGTCTGATAGTCTTTTGCTTGACAACGTCCATGACCTGGACAGTAGAACTTTACTCCTCTGAACTAGGGTTAAAAAGCATGATTTATTCCATTTTAATTTTATCCAAAAGAGAAACGAAGCCAGCTTTGACACAAAATGACAAAACCATAACAGATTTGCACCAGATGAAGCAATTCAATGGTAGTTACCCCCGCAGCCTTGTCGAAGTAATTTCGGCCAACCAAAGTCAGATTTAATTTTGCGAGACACTTTCTCACGATCACCCCAAAGACTTGTAGATAAGCCAGATCATCTGGCGCAAGATCATTTGTGAATGTGATAGTGATTTTGCATTCACCACCATCAAGCCGTCTTGCCACAAACTCTTCCACCTGCAACAGGAAAATTTCACCAATCGTCATTTTTAATCTTCCTAGTTAAGGTTAATAAATGTGTGACAAAGATGAGTTTACATTTAATTATTTATCAACATAAGCTATGAGCATATCCTTATTTAAAAAGAACCATTATTTGGAGATTAATCGTTTGAGTCCGTCTTGAAAAAACTGTTGAATCCATAGATTGAGCTAAGGCACCACAAAATAATAACCTCTATGATTTTATAATTGGTTTAACCTGATTAATCCTGATTTTCTCTCCACTGTTTTACGTTTATTTTCAAGCTATTTTTTGAGGATCTCCTCAGATTTGTGTGATGAAAAAACGATGGAAAAAGCACAAAAGAAATTCAAGATTGCAATTGAAACCTCTAGGAGAAGGAAATGAAAAACGTTCACTTAATTTCATGAAAAAAAAAAATTAAATTTGAAAATTAGAAGAGGCGTACAGCCCATAACACATTTAAAACAAATGTAGCAGGGCTAAAAATTGAGTTTTTGAGGTCAATTTTCTTACTAAGCTTACTCTGAAATAGATTTTGTTCAACGCCACCTACAACTCAATTTTTCATAAATGCCATGAGCCTCTTTCATTCCTAGAATATCTCAAATCAAATACCCTAATCAGATTTTACACATTAGACTTCTCCCTAAAAAGATATAGGCTGGTTACTGAATCACCATCTAAACAAGTATCAACATCATAATCTTGTCATCCGAGAACAATACAAAGATATGGAATAAGGAGTAAATCATATAAAAGACATCATCATTCCCCATAAATTTTCAGGAATATCTACCACCAACTCTGGTTGAATGGACAGGATAGTCAATAAAGTCCTAGACTTATCGCTATACATAGGCAAGTTACCTCATCAATGGAAGCATAGGTCATATACTTGCTGATGGGCTTAAGGATTCATGCCAAAAATTAATGGAGTCATAGCAAAGAATTTTTGTAGGGTTGAAGAATAGTAGAATACATTTTTTCAGATTCCATGTTACCAATGCTTTCAGATCTTTACAGTAAAGTTCCTCTTCACATTAACAGCCACTTTATGGTAGCATGACAAGATCACTGTGGAAATATATAGGAACATTTTCTGGTCAGAGAAAAAAGTAAAAAAGCTGGAAAGAATTGACGCTGCTCTGGCTTGGAACAACAATCGTCTCCTGTAATAAAGGACATTTTATTTGAACATTAAATGTGCATAGTTATCAACCTACATTATTGTGGAGCTTAGTGCTCAAGAAAATGCTAGATCCATCAAAGAGGAAGCCAGCACCCTTGGTAAGTTCTCTCATACGATCACGGATGAGTTGCTTCCTGACAGAAATTCTGTCTTCTTCAATCCCGTTGATGGGACCAAAATCTACATGATAGTGATATAAGCACCAGTTGGTCGTGGATACAAGCTGGAAATAGTTCGCTGCAAGTGGAATGGTTCGCCCACTTTTGCCTGAAAAAATGGAGGAAATTTCAGAATATCAGTTCATGATGGAAATTAGGTAACAGTTATTGCAGCAAAAACTGAAAATCCATAGTTTGTACACCTTTTATTTAAACAGTTTATTTTCACAAGTTCTGGCTGTAAAAATCTACCAGGGTTAATGATTTAATTTTTCAGGGATAAAATTGAGGATTTTTAAACAGTTTCCGATCAATAAAGGGAAAGACTCAAAGATGTTTTGATAACTTCTGAAAATCAGGGGTACAGAAAGTTATTAGCCTCCCCATTTTTCAAAAAGGCTCATTACTTCAAAAACCTCTTTTTCCAAAGCTATAAATTTTTTCTTGTCCTTTATTCACAAGTTGCCACAATTTTGCAAAAAGCAGGCTAATTTCACAGCGATTTAAGAAAAATTCGGGCATTTTGCTGCGATTCGTGAGGAGTCTCATAATTTTGAACCTACTGATAGCTCACCTATCAATCATAAATGCATGATTGAAGAGTTTCTGCACCTTGTTGAAAATTTCTTCACTTACCTACTTTCTAGGATGTATAACAACCTTTTAGAGCCTTAAAGAATGTCTTAAAAATGGTAGATTCCTGTTCCTAAACCTTCAATTTCAGCTACCAAAAGAAGCGTTCATTAGACAATGCTATTTGGCATTTCTAGTGTCGCCACAGCAAAATAAAAAAAAAACATCTTTCAAAGCTGTGGACAAAACAATTCAATGATGTACAATACTGGACAATTTCGTAAATTTTCAAAACTTTTCAAGGCGTTACAAACCCTATCTATGAGTTTATACGATTTTCCTTTCTGCAAAATATTACTATTTAAAAAGCTCATTAAGTAAAAAAGGAAGATTCTGATTGAACTTCTCAGTCTGCTGACTTAACTAGAATGGATTAAAAACTAGATATTACTGTCAGAAAAGAAAGCTAAATGCTGGCATAGTTGTCAGATGGTGCTGAAATATCAGCACTTTCCCCATTCAAACCTATGTGAAGTGTCCATATTTTCTTGCACAATCTGGCAACTGAGGCTGGGAGTCAAGATTTCCATGATTTCTTCATTTTCTAATTTCCTGACTTTCCCTTACTTTTTTCACTTTTCCCTGATTATTCCTGAGCTTCGAACAAACTTTCCACTTTAATCCCTTTTTTTAATTACGCCAACTTTCGCCAAGCTTTGGACAAAATTTTCTTTTTTGAAGATTCAAATTATGAAAAGAGGCACTGGAAGTTGTTTGCACTCCCTTGAATAGCACCAGCTGAAGTTGCCCAGCTTCTCCTAAACCGCCAGAAACCCTACAGTTACTGCCAAAGTATTTTGAACTAACCTTTTTCGCGATTTAGAGACTTATTTGTAGTCTGACAGAGTTCTCTTGCCTTCGGCCGAACTCCACTGCTGCCATTGCTGCTACCTGTGGATATGAGACATTTCATGTAGCTAATGAATTTGGAGAAGCTTGAGAAAATGGACACATATAACATAATCACCAAAGTTTATGTTACAAGGCATTATTCTTTCATACCGAGAGTCTACATTGCAACTGAAATAAACAGCTATTATGAAAGATGATATGGTGTAGAAAATGTATTTCCATACCTTCACAGTTTCCTGCTCTCTCTGGGTGCTTTTGCAGGTAGGTTGTGAGCATTTTGAGTTGCATTACACACCATGCAGTTGCACTTAGCGAGTGCTCGTTTAAGTTAAAGAGGGTTTCGTACGACTTCCCACATTTATGTACAGTACGTTTTTAACTTTCTCTGCTCGAAATTTCAAAAATTTCTAAGCTCACAAAAATATACATGATTGGAAATGAAAACTCATAATTCTGAGCTCCAGATTCTCAGCTGAGAAAACTGACATGGGAGCATTTCCATTGAGTATTTCATGGGAGCATCAGCATTTGAGCATGGGAGTTGGAATAATTCCAACCATCTTAGCGCTAAACTAAATGTAAGGAAGAACAATGGAGCAAACACATCATTAATTTGGACAGATTTGATTAGAATCAGCCTTGATGTTGCCTAATTTCCTCTCATGTTTACCTTTTCGAGCAAGGACTAAGCAACATAAGATCTTCAAACTTTTTGTAAAGCTTTCAGTCATATAGGATATCGAAGCAATATTAAAAAAAGGAAAAAAAAAACAAAAAAATTATAAATTTGAAAAAAATTAAAATTTTTCTTGCAAAAAAAATTCAATATGAAAGGAAACTAGGCAACATTTATGATGTCAATAGGCTGCTTTTGGTTAATGTTTCTCAAGATCCTTTACAGTGCAGAGACTTTTTGTAAAGCCCTGAGTTATAAAGGATATCCAAGCAATATTAAAACGAAAAAAAAAAAAAGAAAAGAAAAACAACGGAAAAAAAATTTGAAAAAAATTAAAATTCTTCTTGTAAAGAAAACTGAAACATGAGAGGAAAGTAGGCAACAAATGATGTTGTTGCACGGCTTCTGATTAACATTTCTCAAGATCAATTACAGTTCTGAGAACTCCACTCGACAGGAGCAACTGTATGACCATTAAGTTCTTTCAAATTGAAAAAATTAACCTCTTAAACTGTGAAAATATACTTACTGGCAATTGACAGCTGTGACATACTAGCTTGGAGCATTGCAGCGCCTCTCCCAACCGGCTGAAACAAAAAAAAAATTGACTTTCAGAAATGATCAGCCTGCAGTAATAACAGGGGGTGCAAGTTTAATCAAATTTCATGAAACTGACCATTTGGGAAAATTTCCTGACCGCTGGCGCTGAAATTCCCTGACTTCTTACACAGAAAAAAGAAAAAGGTCAATTCAAAAACAGCGATGCAAACTTTAAAGCACCGCAATTGTATCTATGAGGTTGAAACTTGCAAAAAACCCGAACACGACAGTTAACATGCAGCCTAGAAATATTGTAAATTGGACCGCGTTTAGCAGAAAGGGACCAAGCCACATCAGCTGTTGCTAAATTTGATGGGGCAGTTAAATATTTTAAATATTAAAATTTATTATTTATTTATTTTTTTATTAAATATTTTATTTTCTTATTTTTATATTTTTATTTTTTTATTTTTATATTTTAATTTTCAATTCTTATCAAGCCGGGCTAGGATATAGCAAAAAGCAAAAACTGTAGACATTTAGGCTGTATCAAGCGATTCCTCCAAATTATATGCTTACACATAGAGCTAAAAAACCGCAAATCTGAGAAACCAGTAATTTCTCTTGATTTATTATGAGTATGTTGCCCCAAAACCGGAAGCAAATTTATCAGCGTGTCAGCAAAGTCACTTAAAGAAACCTATAAATCGTGGAAATGGCAATCGCAATTGTGTATCTGTTATTTTCCGAAAATTGGGGGGGGGGGGAGATCAGGGCAGATATAAGGATATCAATAAGATATAAGAATAATCAATTATTGATTTGGTAAAAGGAACGGTAAAGCAAAGTCACAAAGTTAATGGAAGTGAACAAAGGTAGGGAAAGTTTCAAGTTTCTTAATTTCAGATTTTAATTCTTAAGTTGCGCTCTTACTCTTACCCATTCACTTCTTATCCCTTCCTCTTTTTATCCTACCATATATTTATTTTGTACTTTCTTAAACTATTTTTTGTAACTTTTTTTCTCATGTTATGCTGTAAGGATGAAGTTGAAACGTAAAGCTGTTACCATGGTGGCAAAATAAAATCACCAGAACTGATACACATTCCTTCCGAGATAAAATAATTGTTTTGTATTTGTGATTTTAGGTCTGCTAACTGGAATTATAAAAATATGTTACGCCCCACGATCTTTAATGCCACTGAAAATCTGCAGATGAGTGCGCAAAGCGCCTTCAGGAGATTGGGTTGCAGTCGTATGTTTATGAATAGTATGGTAAATTCATCGGAAAAATGAAACTCACCTTGAAAATGTGCAAGTTTCTGAAGAATTTTGCCAACAGAGGTTTTGTCAACCTGCGCCCCCGGATCAGAATTATTGCTTGAAGGAGGTGCATAGTGTATATGACAGTTTGATGTTGTAAACGTTTTGATGGGGCTTTGAGAAGCATTAGGAATCTGCACTTTAGGATGATTTTGTCTTTGACTAATGATCGGTATAGGACCTGTCTTTGTTGTCATAGCAGTGTATTCCTCTCGGAAGGTGGTGGTTTTTGAGTCGAAGTAGCGAAACCCTTCACTTCATTGGAATTTTTATACTGACGTGAAGGCTGGGGTAAACCAGTATTATTAATGGTCCTGGCAGGATCAATGGAGGAGGGGATTGGCCTCTGGGTTGAAGTATGTAGTGAAACGCTTCATTTTATTGGAATTTAAAAATTGGCTCAGAGGCTGGGGTGTACAAGTCTTGTCAGAATTCTTGGGAGCATTACTGGAGGAGGGGGGTGGTTTCTGAGTCGAAGTTGTAACACTTTACGGTCTACTAATTTGACTTTAGTCAAAATACGGTAGCCTACCAGTTGGCACTGTGTTCTTCAATGTGCGGTTCCCATCTTCTCTGGGCCCCAGCCCGCCTGGGATGAACGATTTTTGTCTCGTTTTTCTTCTCACTTGTGTGTTGTGTCACATGTTTTTATGATTTACTTCTAAAGACTTTGCTTTTCTTTTATTATTTACAGGTTATAATAGGTTAAAAGTGACGCTCTTTGTTTCACAGCTTCATATCAATATACTTACTCGGGCATACCCGGGAAATCCAACTCGGCAATGGTAGCATTTGTATCTTCAACAAGGATAAACACAGCGAAAGTTTCACCGTAGAACAAGGGCATCAGATTTCCTCTTCCCCTCTCAGCGGCTACCCCCTCAGGGCCGTCTTTTCAAGGATGCCAGTGCACTGTTATTTAGGAATGTGCTTGCATAACGCTAATACGCATATAATTAGGGAGGTGTCGGGATAATACTGCTGAGTGTTCTGCTAGTATAATGCTAGAATTACACTAGTGAGTGTATAACTAGCATGATCTAGTATTTTACTTATTAGTACTAGTATACGTATACGTGTACTAGTATACTAGTATTTTTAAGTAACCCTGATACAAAAGGTAAAATATTATGATCTCTACTTATAGTTAATTTATTTTTAATTTTTGTTTAGTTAAATTTTTAAATAATCAAACTTTAATTAATTTTTAATTTTGACAACCGAAAAATCAATTTTCAACTATTTAGTTACTATATTATTATTCAACTTAAAATTACAAAACCAAGAAGTAGGTAAAATTATATATTTTTTAGGAGAAGACATTTTTTTATGATTGACTAAATTTAATTATAAATTTGAAAATTATTAGTTTGACTTAACTTAACATTTTAATAAAATATAAATAGAAACAATTAAGCCACCAAAAACAAAAATCTTGATATTACTAATTTAATGAAATTATTGGTATGTCCTTTCATTCACCTACCAAAATAAAGTGAGTACTTCTTCATACATTTCTATGTAACATGAATACATATAATCAATGTACATTAAATTTGATGAATAATTTAAATATACATATTTCAATCTTAAGTCATTTTCTATTTTCAATTGAGTTCTAGTTTACTAAGGTTTAGTGTTAAATTGTATTACTTATATTATAATAAAAAAAAAAGTGTAAGATAATTTGATATCCTTATGGTAAACAATTATTTTTCGTTCTGATAATGTAAAAAAAGCAACCAAAAGCATTACTATAATTATTAAAAATAACAAATTAACCAGCCTCAACATTACTAAATGTAAAAAATTAATGCAAAATAATTAATTATTATTAATATTTAATCAACTTTAAAATGATTTTAAAATGCTCAGGAGCATTTGCTAGCCAGTACTGGCATAATGCGCTTCTCTGTACAAATCACATTATACTATAGTATATAGGTATGAGTCCTTAGTGTATAACTAGCATTACACTCTTTTTTAGCAGGATTCCTCCGTTTTTCTCTTTTTCTTCCCTTTCCTTATCTTTTTTTCTTCGCACCAGAAATCCGTGCATTATGCCTTTAAGATTTGGTTCGAATAAGTTTTTACTCTGGCTCAGAAAAATACAAAGAGTTTCAATATCCGCTGTGAATTTTTTGGCAAATAAGCTTTCATCTGTAACTGTTGGCCCAATTTTTTCAAGAAATTCGATTGCTTCTTCAGGTTGAAGGGTAAAATTTGGGTGTTTCGTTTTGAACTTCTTAAATTCGCTGGTTATATTCTGTTCTTCTTCTGAGCGCAATTGAATACTTAGCAATATATTTCCAGTTTCTTCAATCAGCTTGCCCTCTTTTGAAAATACGGCCACGCCCCAAGACTCGATGATTCCAGAAGGTGTGAATTTCAAACCAAAGCACGTAACATTTTCCTTCTGTCCAAACAAATATTTCCAAATATATTTCTCTTTACACTCATAGACTGGGTTTTCCGGATTTTTGTCCATTTTTGGTTCAAATATTATTACTTCTTTTCCAACGGAGTACACAATATCGGCTCGCCCTTTATTCGTTGTATCTTCCATTACTGAAAGTTTGGATTGAAATTTTTCGTTTTTCAATTCGAGCATAATGTACAAAACAAATTGGAACCAAGCTTCGAGACGTGGCTTCTGGTAGGAAAGGTGTTCATATGGGATACGACTGTTGGTAGCATTCAGATGTTTGATGAAAGAATTCCATTTACGGTCATTCAGGTATTTTACAGCCGAGTCCATTTGATCTACGATACTTGCCTCATCCTTGAACCCAGTGATGCCGATGTAAACACGAAAAGAAAAATCCTCCTTAAGTTCAAGATTGGTAAATCTCAGGGAAAAAATTTCCTTTTCACTGTTAAAGTTTGAGATACTTAGGTACCCACTGTGAAACAGAAGTGCTATCAATGATTTAAGATTGTTCTCTCCGAAGCTGTATTTACCACTAAGTTCCCCTTCAGAAGCTGTGAGTAGTGTGTTTGTTTCATTTGATGCATCCTCTATAACCATTTCTACAGTTTGTGCTGGAAATTTTTTCAGTTTATTGACCAAAAATTGACTGGGGCCTCCTGATTGACTCCAAGCACGTACTTCACCACCGGTACGCAAGAAGGCGATAACAGAGATGGGATTATAAAGGGACTCCTCCACGATGGTGAATCTGAACCCATCATGCCATTTCTTCATCGTTTCTATGATTTCCGCAGTGGTTTTTCCCTTAGATATGGCCACTTTTGCAATATAGTCTCTGAAATACTCTTCTAGTTCATTTTGGGTAAAACCGACGATGTTGCCAAACTGTGGGTTCATCGTAATGTCGCGTGCGGCATTCGCCCCAGAAAAAAAGCTTGAGAGAGCAAGCCGCGTTATACCTGTTGTAAATGAAAATCTTATTACTTCAACTGCTCCTTTCAGGGTAGAGAAGAAACCCTGTAGTGATTGTAAAATCATGGTGGCTATTTCTTTATTCTCTGCATAAGCTTTTGTGTAGGGTGAATCATATTCATCGATTAATATTACAATCTTTTGATTATACTTCTTGTTCAGCCCTTGAATCAAGTCGCCTAAGGCAACTTCGATGACCTTCTCATCTATTTTAATATTATGCAAGTCTGCTTCCTCTTTCAATTTCTTCAACATGGTGTACTTAAAAATTTCGAAGGATTCGACGGAAATTTTGAATGAAAAATCTAAACGAATTACTGGATGTATAGGCCAATTTTTAATATGACGCGAATAGATTTCGGTACTTCGAAATAGCTGTGTTTCACCCGAAAAGAATGACTTCGCATGGTACTGATCAAGAGCGTTTTCCCGAACCGCCGGGGGCGAGACAGGAACCAAAACACTTGCAGATCCTGGACCATTTTATTTATGAACCACGTTTTGTCGACGTAGCACTTTACACCGACTAAATCTCCGAAGACGGAGGTACTTTCTGCTGGTAAAACTTCACATGGATTCATAGGTACCAGTGGTTTGTACGTCGCTGAAGGAAGAGAATCTGCCGAATTCTCTTCATTTGGGAACGGAAGATGTGTCACAGCACTCTCAAAATACCCGAAGATGATAAACGCATTAAAAAATAAATAATGTTTCAAGTCCATTCTACACCAGGAATTTACACTTCAAGATTCAATGACTTTGAAGGTATTTCAAAAAAGTGTTCGAGCGACGTAACGGTTGCACTGTACGGGATATGACTGAATCTTTTTTCAAGAGTCTCGGCTCAGCTTTATCTAATTTTAAGTGATGACTCAGACCTGTTCGCGGGCTTATCACGCGCAAACACACACACACACACGCACACACACCCTCACCCTCACCCTTATACACCCACGCGCGCAGCCTCACGCACCTTAGCGGCGGAGAGACGCTGCGGAAAACGCCGATGGAGAACGCTCGGATCTAGGGATGGTCGGATATTTAGATATTCGAATTATCGGCACCGAGATAATCGCATCACATTCGAATATTCGCTTTCCGAAGTATTCGAAACCGCAAATTCGAATATTCGAATAATCGCATTCCGAAATGTCAAGAGAGTCATTTTGTCTCTCGCGGTTCATAAAAAATCAAAAATCGAGGCAATAATCGGAAATATTCGAATATTCGCTTCCGAACTATTCGCAATTGCAAGATTCGAATTCTCAAATAATTGCGATAATCGCATTCGAAAAGTTTCGAATATTCGAATACTCGCATTCGAATTCGATATTCGTCCATCCCTACGACCAACAGATCGGATCGGAGCGGAGACGCCGACAAATTCCGCTCAGTCGGCTGCCTTTTCCTACCGATTTTCGAATGTGTTTAGTTCGACAAACCCGGGAATCAATCGACAAAAGCCGAGAATCGATCGACAAACCTGTGAGTCGATCAACAAACCTGTGAATTGATCGACCAAGCTGTGAGTCGATCGAATTACGTCGATCGGTTCACGTTTAGATTTTCCGATCGATTCATGTCGATCAAGTTGACACCGGGGTTTTTTTTTTTTTTAAATTAATTGTCAGTCATTTCTCGTCGATTGATTCACGTTTTTTTCCGATCGATTCGTGTCGATCGAATCGACAGCGGTTTTTTTAATAATTTGTCGACCCTGGTAAAAATTGGCGATAGGAGCTGCGTTTCAAAATGCCATAGGAGTTCTTATAGCCGACTAAAGAAGACTATTGAAAATCATATAGCTGGCTGTAGAAAGCGGAGCAAATCATATAGCCGGGCTATACGAAGCTATAAAAAATTATACAGTTGGGCTATAGTTCTTATCGCCGGACTTTTCACTATATCGCCATTGGCTATAAAAGGCTATAAGAAATTGTGTAGAAATTCGTGTGCTTTGGAAATCATTAAGTTTATATGGAACTACCTTAATAACACACGTTATATTTTCCTTTAAAACATTTTTTTTTTTTTTTCATCAATTAAAATGAGAATAATCCATACAGAGTGTGCAAACATTTCAAAATCATGAGTTGAAAAACGCTGACTCCGCGGAATGAAATATTTGAGCCTAACACAAAGCAGAGTGGCGACGCACTGGCGCCTACAAACCTAACAGGGATACTTCACGCATTGCGCAATGCGTGAAGTATCCTTGTTAGGTTTGTAGGCGCCGCGCCAGTTCGCGTGTTGCGCTGATCGCCCGCCACGGGGAAGGCGTATCTCAATAGAGATGTTGCATTGTTGCATGTGTGAGGAATTTGCGATTTGACTATTGATTCTTGCGTAAAAGTTCGCGAAAAACAAAATGGTCCCACTGGTTTTCTCTGAAATCAACTCCCAAGCTCAAAAAAAGCTCTCGAAGGCCAAAATGGAGGGGATATCCCACGCTATCCTGAGAGTTCACCTCTGCATCAAGACGAACACTCCATGCGCAGATATGGGGCGAATACATTAGCAGGGATGCCGTGTTTTCACTAGAATTAAGAATAAACGCGCAGGGCATTGCATACTTTCCAGGCCTTGGTAAAACACACGTGGTATGAAGAGAAAAATTCCGGAGCTTCGTACGGAATTTCCGCACTTTTTCAGTACTTGCGGACCGCCCGGTAAAAAACCAGTACTACGGTCCGGACGTGGTGGAAT